CACATACTTTTTAATAACCCCAAATATCCTGACTAGTATTTAAGAAGAAAAGTGAGGTGGAAGGTGAACTCGGATATGAATGTTTTTTGTAAGTATCATGTCTTGCACTGCTGCTGGTGAGGTGTTACGCTAGAGCTGCTGCGCTCTTCACTCCAGTGAACGAGACCGTGACCACAGCACGTGACATGCCAGGCCTACGATTACACTCTTCGTTAGTCACCACTGCAGCTACTGGATCTGCATTCAGGCACTCAGTAGCCTCTGTGTCCCTGCTCTTGTTTTACAATATTTAGATAAGCAGGTTGCCTAGCAGCCATGCTGAATAGACCGTGCGTGGTTTATACATAGTCAAACAGGAGTCTGCTTTTGGCAGATCATTCCTTGTATTATATTGAGGTACAGGCCTCTGCTTGCTCTGTAAGAGCAAATTACCAGTGATTTCTCATTTGTTGCTACGTTTTAATAGTTTTGTACCTGTGCGGCTAGGTCAGTAAGGTTAAATTCCTTCCTCTCCTCTGTGCTGTGACCCATTTTTAAGGCTAGTATCTGAGGAGAAAGAAAGTTTTGTCTCTAAATAGGAAGTAGCACTTCTGTAAATATACCAGCCAGGGAGGACCTTGGCACTTGTTGCTGTGCCTTGTGAACAGAGAGCTAAGGTTTCCGAGATAAATGGCAGGCCCTGTGTGAGAACTCAGCCTGCTCTGTTCCACAAGGGAGAGTCGCAAGCAACAGCTCAGAATAGTCTGTTGTTGGAAAAGGTTAGAGGTTACCTTACAAGAGTCCTAACTGGTTAATGAGAGCTTAGCTGGCTCACTGCTTCTGTCTATTATCTCACCTTAACAAGTTTATAGACAAATGAATGCAGTAATAATACCCCCATTTGGCTCCGTTTCTGAAGGGGTCCTATCTGTCCATCAGAAATGCCACAATGGCACTGAAGCATAAAGCTGCATTTCAGCCATTACTAGACTATCTGATGAAACACTGCTGCCATAGTTTGGCCAACACTCTATGCTACGCAGAGAAAACAATATAATTTCTCCCTCTATCGTTTATCTTTTTGACGACATCAACAACCACACTGGTATTTGCGTTTGTTTGAAACCCAAAGCTGGACAATGACACAAGGCTGCTTGTTGCCCTATTTCTAGTGAATGTATTGTCCAGTCCTCTATGTTTACCGTTGCTGGGAAAAGTGCCATTTATACTTTGCTGTTGGCTTCAAACAATGGGGCAGATTCCATGAGCTATATTCTGTTGTTTCCCTCACTGTGGAAAACCGCTCTCAGTTGTAGTTATTTTTGGCATTGACTGTAAATTGTGGATGATAGATGAAGTATTTCTCCTTTAGAAGGAGACCTCTGGCACATTGGGACTTGGAGTAGCAAGATGGTTTTAGAAGGTGTGCTTGTGTGCACGTCTTTGTGTGTGTGCATGTGTCACTTTCAGCGCCTTGGTCTCAGTGGCAGGCTCTGTTTGCAGTGTTTTTTATTTGTTTTTGTTTTTTTACAATTTCACAAGCCTTATTTTTAGTTGCTGTGGAATAACCATAGGCTGCTGAAGCTTCTCCTTGACCTAAATGGGACAAAGATCCTGTGTTCCATGGGAGAGCAGAGAGTGTGTTAGTTCACACAAGAGTAAAGCGGAGACTGGATTTCATACTTAAGTTACATAATGTTCCTTAACTGTGGACAGTTGTTTTTAATGTCACCAAGTGAATGATAAACCCACTGTTAACAAGAGTTTAATTAAACAATGTAGATTAGATGAAACATTAAATCAAATTCTCAGTAAGGGACACTGTTTGAAAAATAGGCCTAGGTTGCACACAAAATGAACACATTTTGGGGGGAATCTGTAAAATCCCACTCCTTCTCAACTCTGTACGTTTGTGTGTCTTGACTTCAGGCAGTCAAGTGATGGCTTAGGACCACAAAAACCCCTAACACAGGTCTCTGGCAAACTAGTCTGCTTCAATTGCATTGAGCTTCCCCAGAGGTAAATCAGGTGCTGTGTCACAGGGCTGCGTGTGTGTAACAAGTTAATTTTAGTTCAATATAAAACATTTCTGTTGGAGTTCAACTTCGCTCAGCTGGGGCAGACTGCATTCCAAACCATTTATGAACATTTGCAGCATGAGGCAGACAGCCTGGGTTGTTTGGAGTCCTGCATTAGCTATACTTTTATGTCTGCTTCAAGTCAGGGAATCGCCTAAAGTTGAGTAGGCCGAAGTTCATTTTCACCAGACATTTATATCAACAAGGATGGCGTTCGATTGAATTTGCCCACTTCAAGCAATAGAATAACTTTTATTTAATTTGAGAATGAATGATGTGTCGTTATGGCGGGACTGATTGAATTTTCATTTTGAATGTAGACAAATCAAAGGGTGTTGATCTCAGTCCTGGTAAATCCTACAGATGACAAGTCCCTTTGTATTTTAAGCAAACACTTGTAATGGACATCGCTCATGTTGTTTGAGTACTCCCAATAGTGATATTCCAGGAATTTCAGATCCCGAACACCAGTCCCTCTTCCTGCTTATCTGGTCGTGTCAACAGAGCCCAGCAGGCTCGCTCTCAGCTCTAACTGCTATTTATTTACCCAGAGGGAACAGTCCTTATGCAACCACTACACCCCGTGCTGCTAAACTCGTCAGCCATGGCCCCCACTGTTGACCCTCAAACTTTGGTTTCCTGTTGGGGTGTTCAGGACACCGTCCGGCATGTTCAATTCTGTGCTGGTTTCCCCAGTGTCATCACTGCGACGGAATTTTGGGACTCAAACAAACATGGAGAGGGACACAGTCTCAGCTTTCTTTCACTCCATGTTCATAAGGGATTGGTTTATTTTCATTCAGATCAGCTGCATTTACAGAGAGTGATGACAAACACAGCACTGAATAACAAGGAATGCAGCATGGAGAGATCAGTTTCTCAGTGTGGGAAGGCTGAGCGCAGTACAATTATGAAGGCTGTGGGGTGGTATTGACTGTTTGACCTCCACTTTGAATGCCCCATTATTTGGAAGGCTTCCTGCCCATTAAGTGTTGTGAATCTAATCAGTCTGAAACTCATCCTCTAATAGTTGGGCCACATTGTGGGACCTCTCTCTTTCTAAGAAATCAGCCTCTAAATACTACTCTGTGTTGAATCCAAGCCCTGCAACACAAACATTGTTTGCAAATCCATGCAAACATTTTTTGACAATTAAATCCCCCCCCCCCCACCCCCACCCCCAAATGTCCCCTCTCATCTTCTTGTCATCCCAGGTGGGCTAAAAAACACAGTACATGTTGAGTCCAATAAGGTTAGGGCTGCTTGCCTGGTGTGAGGGATTGCACCAGATGGCTTCTCAGCAAAGATCCCTGGGACACATGGGTAGACAGTATGTGGAAGGCTTCTATATCCTCTCCAGGCTCTTTGTATATTAACTGGCTGTTGATTCGACCTATGGAGAGCTTGGGGAGAGCTCTGGTGCTGGCAGCACATAAAAGAGATTGATACTTAATGCTTGATGAACAGGTATGTCAGAGTTTCTCAAAGCTTTGTAGTTACAGAGAACAGCTGTTGTTCCCAGTGAGTTGGACTCACCGCAGCGACATTGTAACCCTGGCAGACCTTGACTGGCACCACACTCCTCTGAGTCTATTTTTTGAAGCCGGGGTACACACGGGGTTGATTCAGTAGGGCACATAAGGATCAAATGCGGGTATTTGGAGGACAGTGGGGGCTTATCTTATCCATGCTAAGCTTTGTGCCCCTTCCGATCATCACAGGTAGCCTGGACTGCAGGCTCATACCACAAACAACTGTGACAGGGAGAAGAAAAGCGTCTCTGTCTTGAGAAAGCTGGGAAAAGATCCAAACCAATGGTGGATTGTTGTGACACTAATTCCTCCCCACTGGCACTTTTCTCTCAAAGATGCTAGGCTAGAGTTGGGTGTAATACTGAAGAAGAGAAATGGCCAAGTGGTCATTACGAGACAAGAAAGGAGCGTTGTGATTTATTGGGTATTTTGAGTTCTTCCTCTGGCTCTGATCTAGACTCTACTGTGTCTGAGACTTGGGAAAGGACTCTTGCTGGCTGTTTTGCAGTGTTCCTGTTCCCACATGGATTTGCTGGCACAGTTATGGCCTGCATTAGGGAACTAGATCAAAGGAGACATAATGGAGCCCACTAAAGGGTAGCATGACCTGGATATGGCACCAGCAAACTGCAGTCCTCGCTTATTTGTCAGACATATTCATTGACCCTGATTTTATGTAGCACATACCCATAATATGGAATGATATTCAATTGCAAAATGCCACACACTTTGTTTAACGCAGATGGGTAGCGTCCCATAAATACTCTGAAATTCAGTTCATGGTCTAATTACGTGTAATTGGTTGTCATTCTTATCTGTGCCCTTTGTACTTTTTCTGCAAACTAGGTTGTCTTTTTCTCTTTCTCCCTCTGCCTCTTTCTCTTTTTTGCACCTCCCCTCTCTACTGTCCTTTTTATGTTGTTGTCTGTGTGTGTATTGTGCTGAGCTGGCTGTTGTCATTCTGTGGTTGTAGTAAGGCTCGGTTGTTTTTGCGTTGGTACCACTCGGAGCGTACATTTCTCTTTGGGCCCTGCTGACTCCGTGCCTGGTGTCTCACTGAGTGTGTCCACCTGTCTCTTTCTTCAGGAAACACGCATACATGCCATCACTCCTTCCGCTCCATTGCCTACCAAAGAGATGACATCATTGTTAACACACACACACACACACACACACACAGATGGATACGTGTAGGGGACACACACATTGACACGCTCTCCATATGGGCAAGTGGGCAGTTTTGGGCCTCAGTCTGTCAAACAGTGTGTGTTGTTTACTGCTTGTCAAGATGATTAGTACTCAGGCGTGACTGTGGCTCCTAATGCATCATCGTATCCCGTTGGTGAATAATCTGTTGCCGTTTTTAGCTGTAAATAACCCCTCACCTGTTGTCTTGTTTCTTGTCATACAGTTCTGATTGGGTGGAGATCCTGGAACCACGCTCCCGTGAGCGTATGTATGTGAATTTGGCCACCGGTGAGTGCGGCTGGGATCCCCCTCCAGGTGTTCCTGTTCGCCAGGCCGACGGCAACCAGTGGTGGGAGCTGTTTGACCAGCACAGTGGCCGCTTCTACTACTACAACTCTACCGGGCGGCGTACAGTCTGGCATCGACCCCAGGGAGCCGATATTGTGCCCCTCTCCCAGCTCCAGGCCATGAGGCGATGCAGTGAGGCCAAGCGGGCTGGAGGAGGCGTGGACAGGCCACACCATGGGACCACGGGGAGTACCAGCAGTGTAGGGAGCCAGGGGCGCTGCACCCCTCTGCCCGAATATGACGGCGACAGTCCTGTCCCCAGAGCTCTGGAGACCAATGAGGAGGCCGCCACCTCTGAGCTGGACCCTGCAGTGGATAGCAGATTGCAGGGAGATGGAAGCGGCACCGAACACAGCACAGATGGCAGTAAAGACCCACAGAGGTAAGTCTGACCAAACCTTCAGTAGCCTCTACAGTAAGTCTGGAAAGGGAATTGTGCTTAATCATTAGTGGATCAAATTACCAGGAGAAAAGTGGGGAAATGTGATAGTCATCACAGCATGTGGCATAGTGAGTCGTAATGACTTTCAAATGCTTCTGCTATGAGAGCTTGCAGGATTATTTTGACTTTTGACCGCTAAGGCCGAACTCAAACTGCTTTTTTATTTTCATTCTCACTTATCTGAACATTCCATATGTCCCGTGTTTCCATACGATTGCCTGTGAACTCATCCATTTCAGCAAATCGCTACCAAATGGGGAGAACGGCCAGTTATATTACCACCACCACACACACACACACACACACACACACACACACACACACGCTAGGATTCCTGCTGCAGAACGACCCCTAACAGTAAGTCATTCAGAGACCCCATCATGTGCTTGCCGTTGTAGCCTCATCCAAACCAACGTCTCCTTCCTCCAACCCAGATTCCAGACATGCCACTTCTGTTTCCCCTGGCATGGGGCCACTGAGGCCGTCTTAGTGTCCTGTGTGCTCACCACCACCCTGCTCTGCTCCAATGCTCATTTAATTTTCCTAAAACAAATCTAGGCCTCAGGCCATCAAAGGCTGTAACGCCTCTTATGGGTGAGAGCTTAAATGTGCTGCAAGAGAGGCATGTGAGAGAGTGTTGTCTGTGGTTAATAATAAGCAGAACCGCTACATTCCAGCTGCCCATAAACAAGACGAACCCTGCTGATTTTCAGAGTCTCTGCCGTGGCGACTCCGACTCTCCGGTTCCTCCTGGCAGTTCTTGTACCTCACCTTGGCCATTAGGAGGTCTCGCCTCTGACCCTCCAATCCTTTGGGATTACGTAAAGGTGGAGGGGGAACTAATTGGTCAGCCATGGCCGTTGAATGAAACTACTGGAGGCCTTGTTGCATTGCCTCTAGTGTGTGTGGGTGGGAGTGTTAAAGCTCCCCAGAGGATCCCACTTTGCCACAGTGATTCAACCTTTCCCAGAATATTTTCTGTCTCCCCTTAAAACAATGGCCAGCTGTGTTCCTCTATGGAAGGCTGAGGAGTCTTTAGCCCACAGAGGCTTGATACCCTGCTTAGCCATATGGCCCTTCACATGCTCGCCACCCTCCATCTCTTAGCAGGTAATTAGAAACCGCCACGAAATGCAGAGAGGGTGGAATGCGACAGCTCAAATGGATGAAAACAAACTCGGAGACATGCTTGTCTTCAGTTAGCGGCCTGCCTTATTGATAATGACAAGGATCAATGGGTGAGAGCAAGGGAGAAAGTTTAAATGAAGAGTTGGAGGGGTCACAGTGGTTTGAGGTTAGCTAATTGTTCTGCTCCACCCAGAACAGAAAGTGTTAGGGGCTTTCATGAGAATCTAGTCCTCCTTCCTTTTTCTTTAATTCATGCTACTTCCGGTCGTACTTTTTTAGTTCCATACAGAAAGGGGGTTTCAGTGTTTAAAGTTCCTCAATGTTTGGTTTGAACATCTCTATTTTAGACATGTTTTCACATGTTCTTTTTCTCTTCCCTGTTTTTCTCTGTGAAATTTCAGCGGAGATGAAATGTTATTAACTTATGACCTTTGAAAAACAATGCTCTTCTTTGTGGAGATGGGACAATCCCAGTACTTCCAACACCAGTTTCCTTTTGTTCTGGGCTATTATTAAATCTGTTCATAACAGTTTCCAACGTTTCCACACAACACAGCCCGGGTGTTATTCTAAGTGCTGGTTGGTTGATGCTGCTTCTGTCTCTCCCTCTCTTTGTAAAGCTCATATCTTTGTATTTGGCTATGCTCCTGCTTATTGGAAGTGTAGGTATATGAACACAGTTATGTGTTGACGTGAGTGCCAAATCTGTTACTCATTGGCCAAGTCTTATCACATGTCCTGGGAATTTCTGGGTACTTTGAGCCTGTGATGTTCATCGAGAAAGTACCTTGGTCTCCACGGGTAAACATGTCAGTCACATGTGGTGATGGGCACGGGACACTGAAGGTGTCACAGATCTACTCACTTATAACATCTGGATTGAATTCCCTCAATTTCCAGTGCATATGTGTATCTGTGTGTTGTTGTCATCAACCAGATAACATCTGTATTGGGTTTCACCACAGATAGTGTGTGATCTGTGTGTATGCCTGTCTTCAATGTGTGTGGGCTACTTTCCACTGCACTTTCAGGACAGCAGACCTGCTGAGGTTGCGTGGCTGGTTAAAGTCTGCTGATGACACATGACAGCATGGTGTAAGGCAACCCTGAAGTGACCCAAGGTGGATCACTTCAGGGTCACAGCCCTCTTTTGTCTTATGGGCTGGCCTGGGGCATATAATGGACCACTAAAAAGAACAAAGGCTCACTTAAACCCAGTTGTCCCCCAGGGTCATCTGAGAGCTTTCTCTAAGCAGGAAGTCTGGGTATGCTGAATGGAGAAGAACACCAAATTGTATGTACCCTCTCATTTGGCCCTGTAATGATATAGCTGTGCACCAGCATTCAGTCTAAGGCAGTCACACTGACATTAGACACTTAAAACTCGCCTTTCTTGATTGTTGGCTGGTTTGGATTCCTTTTCAAAAAGATTTGGAAAGCTTACACAGAGTTGGATATATAATACAATACCTAAGCAAACTCAACTCTGTCAGAGTTGTTTCATTGTTTTTAAATTTGTAACAACGTTGAATCAGCCTCTACACATTAAAGACGAGACAAGTTAGCTGGCATTACGTGAGTGTGTGAATGTTGGAATTTATTTTAGTCTGATTTATTTTTGGAAAACTTAAAGGACAGATGTAGCAATCTCTGACTGGAATTTTTTTCAGTTCTAGTTTCTGTTTGGGGGAAGTTTTTTTAAAAGGAAAAGCAAAAGTTTAAAAAAAAAACAACAAAAAAAAAACTAAACAAGCTTCCCCTCATGTTCTCGTGACTGTCTGGCTGCGAGTCATGTAGTAGAAATCACCAGCAGGTTTATTTAGGAAACCAGTGGGCGTCTTATGGGTTAGATAAAGTTTTTAATGAGTCACACATTGTCTGTATGTTTACTGCGAGAGAACAAGTCTCTCATGCGTTTCATCTGCCGCCACTCTGAGGCCACAGCGTTTTTACACACACTGGAAATACTTGTTTTATCTCTACACTCCTGGTGTGGTAAGCTCACTTCCAGCTCTTTTCAGATGGTGTTTGAAGTCTGCCTATAATAATAAATTAGGTTTCCCCCCCCCCCCACTTTTCTTTGTGAAAAAGTTGCACTTTGAACTTGTGATCCTGTTATATGCTGAAGTACCCTACTTGGGTCTGGTTAGCAGTGACGGTATTATTAAGTTTTCATCTCTGTTTCTTCACACGTTCACATGCTCTCTTTCTTGTAAATGCAAAGTTTTTGGCATTCTGAGGAACTAGATTACAGAGCTACAGTTTTATGTGTCTCACCGAAGCAATGTGTGCAAAACATATTTTGTTTTATTTTAGATATCCTTGAGTCATTGAATTGAATTTACACTTAACTTCTCTCTCTGGTGCTGTAATGCAGTGGAATATTTCCAGTGTTTTCATGAAGAAGCAATGGCACCAGTGACACGTGAACTGGCCTCAGTCATGCTGCTCTGGCTTTCTCAGCTGACTTGCTACTAGGGATGCACCAAATGTTCCGCCTCTAAAATTAATCGGCCTAATAAGTCAAAAGGCCAAATAAATTTTACCCAACCATTTTAAAGTCTCTGAGAAAGATGCAAAAATCGCCGTTTGCAGACACTGTTCTGCTGAATTGTCTCCTAGCACATCCACATAATCTGTGGCTGACTTCGTAGAAAAGTTAACAAACGGTCTGAACCGCTTTGAGTGTTTTTGTCACTCGTTTGTGAGAAGGCGATTAACCTAGCCACACCTACATTTGGAGTGCACACGTATGAAAGCCTTTATGGTAAATCCACAGACAGGTTAGCGACTTTATCCTGTCAGTTTCTCTCTTTACAAAGAATAGTGTTGCAGTATGAGAGTCCTACCTGAAGACAGGCTATTAAGTCTTCATTTTATGCGATACGAGAACCACATGCAACATTATTTTTGAAATTAGGTCGGATTTGATGAATTTACGCGAGTGTGACAACGTCCGGTTTTCAAAATAAGGTGTCCATACAGGATGGAAATAAGATTAATTGGATTATATTCACGGAAAGTATAAAACATATTACATGTGTCCATTAAAAGTAAATGGACAATTTTGGCAAAATAAATGGAAAAAATGTGAATTTACTTAGTTTGGTATTCGGCAATTTTTTTTCATCATAATCAGCTTCGGGCAACAATATTCATTTTGGTGCATCCCTACTTGCAACAGCAAAAGATTTTTCACAGAGCTTACATTCACATCCATTTCTAATGTTTCATTATTGTTTACTACCATGTTTTTGTTCTTTTGTGTCCCTGATCATATCTGACTGGAACAGGTTTTGTGAGTGCGCGAAGAGGATCCAGTTTTAATTGTGTCATCCAAACAGTGTTCCATAGTCTTCCCTCACAAGAAGAGTTGCAGATACTCTTTCAAATTCCAGAGGCGGGTCTCTCTAGAATCCAGTTGGGTTTGGCCTCATCCTGTCCCTTCAAAATGATCCTAGTGGCTGGCCTCTGGCCAAGCCCAGCACTCCTCATAGGGTCGGACTGCGGGAGCCACAGACATGCACAACTGGTAGACATCATGGCTCAGAGGAGCGAGGTGTTTCAGTTCAGCTGTTGCAGGACAGCTGGCTCTCTGGAGGTGTCTGATAGGGACTAGGGGCCTACCAGCTTTGCCTCAAGCCCAAAATGTTACTTTATGCTTCTGCTTGATATGTTAATGACGGATTGTTCAAAAGCAAGATGAAAATCTGCTTTGAACGTTGGCGAAGTGGATACGACCTTGTCCTCAGCGAATCCTCTTTGTCTTTTCAGTTTCCTTCCTCTGCACAGATCGCAGTGATCCTATTGGTTTGTGCTCTGAGGTGTTTGTATAGCAGAAGCCTGGCTTGTGTGACCTCATTTCCTCTTCCTGGCCAGTCAATGTTAATAATAACCTCTGTTTTTCAGACCCCACTATTCTCAGGGGGCATATTTAAGAACTTCCAAATCCATATCCCTACTGGCCAAAGTGACTGAGCTGATGGCTTTTCCAACAACCGTTATTCCAGGCAGGAAAGAAAGGAGAGACAGAACATCTGCCGCAGAGTCCCCATAGTATATTTAGCTGGTTATTGAGACGACCTGACCACAGCAATATTCAGAACAGTGACAGAGGTATCTGGGACTGTGTTTGTGGGTGTGAGACACCAGAGCAGCTGAGACTAATTGAAATTTGCTGACCATTAAGTTGATTTGCTGCCCAAGAGGCCAATCAAATTACCCTGTTGGTTTACAAAGGGCCGCTAACTTAATTTTGTCTTAAATTTTGCTGTCTTCCTAAAGGTCTCACATGCAAGCACTAGGCTCTGAATGAAGGGGTTTGTAAGTGCCTAGCATAGGTGTGTGCTCATGAGCTGTGTGTCTAATCATGAATGCTTGTGAAAAATTTGAAATGGAGATTATCTCTTTGCAAACAGCGTGAAATTCAGAAACATCTGGAGAGGTTTTATCAGTCCCAGTCATAATTTTCACGTCTTGTTTAACCTCTGTGATAAATTGCTGTGCATAAATCCCCACCTTCACTTAACATTAAGCAAACACCTGACAGGCAGTCTACTAGCAGGCAACACACCCTTTCTAAACAACTTTCATTATGGTTAAAATAAAGTTCAGTGTTACGCAAGAGTCTGTTTGCCAGACTGACTCTGGAGCTCGAAGATGACTCTTTCAGGTTCAGCTTCTTTTCTATCCTCTTTCTCTCCCCCCTTTGTGCACTCCATTGCTGTCATTGAGGGAGGTGTCTCCGTGACGATGGCACAGCCATGCATTGTGTGAGGCTCCCCACACTGCCACAGAGGCCCCTGAATGAGCCCTGAGGAATGCCAGCCTTCCCGCTCATTCCCTTCCCTTGCTGCACTCTCCCACGACTAATCCCCACCCCTTCTCGTTTACACATGCTCACACCCTCCTCCCTTGTCTCTCTAGCTCTGCTCTCCCCCCACCCAGTCCAACCTATTGTCTCCCAACTCTAGGCCTGTTGTAGTTTCTCACCATTGTACTGCGTTTGTCTCTCTTTTGGTTCAGGGTTTGTAATTATACTTTATTTGGTTGACCTGAGGTTTACTCATATACGAGTGTTGTTCTAGCTGTGTAACGGGATTAGAGGCTTTGGATAGAGATCGAAGACACTGTAAAGTCCGACTGTTTGATTTGGCTACCAGCCCCATGCGATCATGACGATCATCGCACCAAAACTCCCTGCTGACATCCAACATAATGTGCCAGTGCCAGAGGGGGTGAACATGCTAGACCTTTGCTGAGCCTGACTGGGACAATGGTAGGCAGACAACGGAGACAAAGCCTGACAAAATCCCTCTCTCCCAACACTGTGAGCTGGACTTAGCAGAGCATACATCTCATAGGCCTATGAATGTGTTCAGTTTTGGTCCCTGGTCAGCATACAGTGTTTTTTGGACCTGGAGATGAATCATCTAAGGTCCTATTTGGGTCCAAGGTTATAGTATGTACGCATGAAGTGAAATATTTTGTAAAGTTGAGTGTCCTATTTAGCTCCCTATAATTAAAATTTAGCCCATTCGTTCGCCCTGGGCGCAGCGTGTGAACATTACATTAGGCATTTCCTGTTTATGTTACATATGGGGAAGTCCTCTCTCCAAACCTCCAGAGGACCTCCTCATACAGGAAGTAGTGGTCACTACTATCTCAGGGTCAGTCCTCATAAAGTATGTCACCCACCGAGAACATCGAAGACAGATTCATGTTTTTTACAGTCGGCCATGAACCCCTAGAGATTGTTTTATGTGCGTTTTGATTTGTTTGTGAATAATGGAGATGGAATTTGATTATTGTGGTTTTATGTGTGAGGTCCTCTGTGTTCTTTGGTCATCCAATTATTAAAAAAGAAAAAAGGCCTTGCTGTTTCATGTGTGAGCTGTTCCTGCCGTAGCAAACTGGTGCTAAACGGTCAGCTGCTGAGGTGGGAATGATTTTGTAGCATTTGTATCACCTCCTTCTGCTTGACAGGACCAGAGTGAGAAAACAAACACTATTTGAAATAGTACAAACAGTGGCTTCTCATGTTTACAGCTGTCACCTATCAACCCTCTCCCCTCCACGCCATGTAACCTTACACACTCACACTTGCTTGTTACAACTAAACAGTGGAGGTTTGGGATGAATCCCATACATCAGAGCTTCTTGTCTTCACGTGTGTGTGTGTGTGTGTGTGTGTGTGTGTGTGTGTGTGTGTGTTAAGGCAATAAACTTTCTTGATTGGTCTCATTGAGGTGGGGGACTTGGAGGGTTCTCAACAACAGTGGTTGTGGCCGACTGTCCTGGTGCTGTGCCAGGTGGCTGCGACCCAGCTGTTTATAGGCCCTGTCTGGATGGCAGATCTGTGGGACCGTTTGAAGATGAGTGAGCCTGTTTACATTCAAACCACTGGTGGTGTGACTAACTCTATAGGCTGGGGCGGGGGTGGCACAAGGTTCCTCAGAGAGAAAGAGGGAGTGCTGGAGCTGGAGCTAGGAGGACTAAAGGAAGTTTGCCGTTGGTTTAAGGACCTCAGGGGAAATGTTTCAGCATTGTTCCAGAGACACGTGGGGAGGAGGGGGAAGGGGGGGGGGGGTCACTCCGCCTTTTCTCTCCACCCTCTGCATCCTCTTACTGCCGTTACAGCCCAACTCTCAACTGAGTCTGGCTCTACACTGATCGGTGTTTATGTTTGGATTTACAAGGACAGAAGGTGATCAGCTTTGATGTAATTAATTACCCAACTGAATGTTAAGTAGAGGTTGGAGGGAGGCAAGGTAAGTCTCCTTTGCTTGCCTTCAGATGTAATTACCTTTTTGACCTTTGATTAGGCAAGGAAGTGTATTGAGCTCAGATACTCTGTACTGCGTCACATGTTTACTCTGCGTCCATTCGTGTATATGCAACAATGTCCGCTTTACACACCTTTAGACTCATTGGTTTAAGAGGGCAAGTTTTTGAGCAGTTGAGGAATGAAAAGTCCTGATTGCTGGTGAAGATTATCAGGCGACAGCAGTGTAGAGGGCAGCAGACCAGAGCAGCGTGACCAGATTGATGGCAGATTGTTTTATGTTGCTGGGATTAGCAGTGGGCCACTGGGTTTGAACTTAGCCCAGCCGCTCAACCAAAAGTGGAAGCATTAACCTTTGGATCCCGGGTGAAGAGCTTCTCAGCTGTGAACTGCTGCAGTCCTGACTTCACTCAGATCAGCCTCCTCTTCATGTGGCCTGCTGGTTTACTGTCCAAACGTTTGTTCATTATACAGATGGCAGACTTTTAAGCCACGAGGGATATATGAAACCTACATTAGAATTAAACCTACAACTACCAGCAATTAGTCCCACATGTTAGGAGAAACCATGCAGGGGTTTTCGGGGAGATGTGTTGAGTTCAGTCACTCAGTATTTTTAGGCACTTGGTTTGCACTACACACACTGGAGTTATTGTCTCATGGGTTTGACAAGGCTATTATGACTGCCAGGCTAAAAATGGAGTAAAGTCTTTGGAGGTCAGTGAAATGTTTAGAAAAGAATTTGTAGATTCCTGCTGATTTTCCCAGCCCTGTCAACATTGGATTTTTATAATAGATGAAATATAGTGAATGGCTTCATGCCTGTGAATGATTGTATATGATGATGGGGTTTTATGGTACTCTCTGCTGACGTTTGGTTGTTTATATAGACTTTATATGTACTGTTTGTGTGTATGTCTTGCTTTAGACCGATGTCCAATCTCATGTTGCTTGTTTCCTCTCTTTCAGGGATGCTTCTCAAAGATGGCAGCCTACACCTGGTTCTAAGGCAGCCATGTTAGTGAAGGTGAACAGTATGAGCCGTAGCCAGCCTAGCCCAGCTTTGCAGCAACAGCAGCAGCACCCCCAGCACAGTGCAAACAGCAAAGCCAACACCTTCACCCTGCACCCCCCTGGCAACAAGACCCAAGGAGGACACTTAATCTCTACCCAGGGATATAAAACTGCCCCGTCTGGCAAAATGGCCACCGACGCACGTCAGGCTCATCACCTGAGAAAAGCTAGCAATGGCAGCTTCTGTTTGGTGACATCAGACAGTAGCCATCCCAGTCCACTCCTTCACAGGTCACAGACCAGCACACCACGCCCTGTCTCTCCTCAGTATGGTTGCACTGTCCCAATCTATGACGAGCCAGTTTCAGACTGTCCCATATATGATGAACCCCCAACAGACATGGAGGTAGAGGGGGCGCACTTGTACAATGGACAGCCTCTGTCTCGCCTGACACCTACCCATAGCCTCCAAAAGCCCAGACACCTCCAGCATCCTGGTTCATCTCATTCAGGGTCCAGACACAAGAGGAATCCTTCTGCCTCTGACTATAGCCCAGCTGGTCTGGAGTGCATTAAGCACATGGTCAACGTGGATCCCAAACAGGGGCTCCTATCCAGCTCCCCTGTACCCACACGTACCCCTTCCCCTACCTCAAGGCAGGATCCTGTCTTGACCCAGCCTCAGGCACATCCACAGCCTCAGGTCCACTCTTTGCCCCAAGCTCGAGGACAGTTGAGGGACAGAGAGCCAGGGACTCCAGGCCCAAGTACACTGGACAAGAAACAAAGCTGGCGGGTCCTTGAGGCCACTGTCCAACGTGCCATGGAGGCACGACACAGCAGGCAGAGTAGCCAGGCCTCGCAGGACTTCCCCTCCTCAACCCCACAGGCCACAGCAAACTATCAAGACTCTGGTTACTCCACCGGCCCCTCCCCAAGTCTGAGAAGAAAGAGCAGGAGGAGGGTGGGTGGCGGTGGTGGTGCAGGAGGCAGGCCGGGGTCGGTAGGCAGCAGCGGGGAGCTATGCGCCCTCAATGAGCGGCTGATGGCCGAGATGAGAGAGGTGGTTAGTCGCTCCAACACCATGAGGGAGGTAAGAGCGGGGCTGGACCCGGAGATGGGGGAGAGGGTTGTCATACCTCGGACGCGTTCCCCTGCGGACTCACTCAGGTGGTATGGAGGAGGGGGAGGGGGGTCAGCAGGCAGGTGCGCATCACGTGAGGACCTCAGCCCCCGGTCACTGAGTAGGGCAGGTAACCATGGCAACCCTGCGCTGACCCCTCTGGAGATACCAGGGAGGCAGAAAAGGACCTATGAAAAGGTGGACACCTTGGAGATGAGTGTGAATAGCCAGGCCAGCCTATCCTCACCAGAGACCCCAGGACCACCCTCCCAGGTAACCCCACCCCCTATTATGTAGCTAATACAGCATCACGTTACCTGATACGTTCCTGTCTGTGTTATTGTGTGGTCTGCATCAGCAGGTTTGTTTGGTCTGGAAGTGCTTTGATTACTGATGTCTCTCCAGATTCACTATCAGATTAGAGAAGAATTCAGTCTCACTGTGTCAAATGAGGCATGCCTGAATAAATCATTTTCTGTATATTATGGGAATTTTTAGCTGCTGCTTTTGTACTGTTAAGTGTGTCTGGAAGAATGGACATGTTTGACTGAAGAGAAATATTCTTAACAATTGGGGCAGATGAAAAGACAAAACAAAACTCAGTGAGATATATCTATATCTTTTTTTTTTTTTTTAGCAGGAATGCTGAAAGTCATTTTCACCATTTCTGCTTTTTTGATAATCACCATAGAGACAGTCAGAAAAGGCAGGGGAGAGAAAGAGGGGAAGACACGCAGCAAAGGGTTTCCTGATTTGGTTATATTTTGCATTTGCAGGGCACTGAAATACAAAAGGTCACATAGTGATGGCTTATCTTTACATTCAAAAGTTGTACATGATCAAAGATGAAAGGACTATTTGACTTTTCAAAACAGTTATGTAAGTAGCAGGAGCCAATTCCAAGATCTGCTACTTCTAATCTCCAAATCCCTTCTTGCAACAGAATCACACCCCATACCTCCATACATTATAGGCCTAGTGTTGTTTTCGGAGCAGCCCCACTGCACCGCTACAACTATATGAATGTTTGATTCAACAGGAAGCTCTGGGATAAAACAGTAAGTCTAATCTGTCTCTTTGAAAGAAACACAGCATTTTGTGAGTAATGCCTCTTACATTCCCTGTCTTGAGAGCTTAAATGTCCCCAGGACATTAGACAGTGGGCAGGCTGGGCACCGCTGACTATAATGGCCACATTCCCAGCATTACCTGTCATCCTCTTACCACCATCCATCTGCCCTGCACTGCAGGTACTGTATACTCAAATGCCAGCTCTGTGCTTGAGCATCTGGGGCCCATGCCAGGCCAGAGGGATCCAGGACATGGCTTCCCTCGGTCAGGAAGGAGGGCCGCTGCGGCCCATATGGTCCAGGCCTGGCAGGGAGATGAGGAGGAAAAGGAGAAGGAAGTAGAGGCAGGCTGGTACCAAGGGTTATTGGTACCACTGTAGCTTAAGCATGTTAGACAACAGCCAAGGAGCACTGAGCAGGCCCCCTAAGTCTGTACTGGAATGTTCTTCAGACCTGCTGTTATATCACTCACACACACTCACAGATTATAGCATGGGATGTATGAACAGCTCTACATTTTTCATATTTGAACATTCTGTTCTCCCCCAAAAGACCTATGAACTAACTTATTCAAAGGGTGCACTGACAATCTGACCATTTCCACAAAGAGCATGAATAATTCATGTTTTTATAAGTTGAGGGCATTTTCCTCTGTTGTCTCATTCCGTAGTATAACTGAATTCCCATCCTGTGCTGGTGCATCTGTAAGCTATCTTTAAAACTGTGTAATTTACTGAAAGTAGAATTGTACAGCATATGACCCATTCCCTAGTTAAACATGTGCTTTGTTGTATTTGATCTTTTGGAGTTGACCTGTCACCTATTTAAAAAAAAAACAACTTTGTATGACTGTGTAGACTCAATGCCAAAGCCAAACCACAGATCTGCTCCATTTGATTGAGAAACCGAAATGTAAAGTGCAGCTTGTCTGGCACTCGTCAGCTCCATATTACATCAGGGTCCCATTGAAAAGACATGTCAATGCGTCTTATGTTCCATTAGTAAATTTAAGCTTTGATTCTGGCTCAGGTTTCTTGTTGTTCCTGGCTTTTTGCAGAGTATATCTGGGTTACTGGCTTTCTCTATTGGGTCCTCCCTAAAGTCATAAACTCCACCGCAGAGATCACAAGGAGGTTCTGTTTAGAGCATAGCTTTGGTTTAGCAAGGTAGGTGAGCCTAGTGTAGGAAGGGGCAGGGGTAAGGACTGTTATGCCACTATCTGGCCACCTGCTCCTGAGGTCAGGGTTCATGAGGATTTGGGGAGATTTCTTTCCCAATGCAATAATTTTCTGGCATTAGGAATTTAATGTGCCGATCCTGCAACAATTCGCCCTCGAGCCCCAGCACTGCAGAGCGCAGAAGGAAGAAGGCAGCCCAGCTGCTAGTCTGACACAGTGAAGACTCTGCAGCTGCACACACAGTTTGTACCTCTGCTGCACTCTTGCCTCACCCCTTCCATCTCCTCTTCTTCTACCCTCCCTCCTCCTCCTCTTATGTATAATGTTTCATCTCTATCTCACGTTCACCTCTTGTCCCCCTGCAGGCAGGCACCCTTGAGCTGCAGGCTCAGTTGGAGAGCAGGAAGAAAGGCATGGTGGATGGGCGGACCGCTTCCCTGGGCCCCCACCGCCCTGCCAACCATGACAACCGAGAGGGAGGTGATGGGGCAGGGGGAAGAGCACGAGGATCCACTTTCCAGCTCTCCTACGCCACCCTGCGGCAACCCCCGCCCCCCGAAATGGGCATGGAGGACTGGGCCAGCAAGCACCTCAACATGCACACGCAAGGTCTGTTCCGTCGCCGTGTCTCCATCGCCAACATGCTGTCGTGGAATCGCGGATCCATCAAAAAGCCCATGCTTGTCACCAGCAACCGCGCTGTCAGGAAGGAGGCCTGCGAGATGTTCAAGCTGGTGCAGGCCTACATGGGAGACAGGCCTTCACGTCTTGACCGCCGTCACTGTGCCCTGCTCATTGTGACCAAGTGCTGGGACATGCCGGGCCTGCGGGACGAGCTGTACGTGCAGCTGGTGAGGCAGACCACAGGCAATGCCAGCCCAAGAAGCTTGGCGGCAGGCTGGGAGCTGATGGCTGTCAGCATGGCGTTCTTCGCCCCCTCGCCCAAGTTCCGCTGCTACCTGGAAGGCTACATCCAGAGACACACGGAGCCCACCAGCGACAAGAAATGTGAGTCTCAGACTGAGCAACAGGGTGGGTCACCTTTCTTTCTTCTGTACCTCCCTATGTTGTCTGATCATCAACATTGTTTATGTAGGCCAGAGAGACGTTTCTCTTTTTAAAATTAAAATTCGCATTTTTTTTTCTTTCCATTTACCAATGATATTTGGATTCAATGTAGTCAGTATGATCATGATAGAATGCACAGTATTGTTTTTGATGAGCCATCAGAAATTTGACTTTTGCTGTCTTCTGTTTCATAGTGACTCAGTTCATATTGGAACAGCAGGAACTAAAGCTGAAGAAGAATTCAAAGTCCAGAAAGAAGCGAAAACAGAATACAGAGGAGGAAGAAGGTAAATCTTTTGTGCATTTACTTGCTCGTCAGTCGAACGTTTCACTTTAAGAACATAGGATCCTCAGTATTTCCCATGTGTACAAGCTTATCCATTTGACTGAGCACAAAGTAGGTAGGGAAGGGAGTCCAAACTATGTTTTTCTTCATTCTTTATAAGCTGTCTAGAGTCTCCAAGAAATGCAAGCCATTACAAATCTAACATATCACTCCCTGTAGAGTGACCACTCTTGAGTGGGATGGAAAATTGAGCTCTGTGCAGTTTGTCAGATGAGTACATGCTGATGTACTTGCAGACACAATGAATGGGTTTCACAGAAAGGAGAGCTGAAAAAAAATATGTAGGATGAGAATTTCAGAACGTTCTGCACGCGCACAATGGACCACACTGTCAATCATATTAGCGGTCTCGCTTGCCACTTGCATGTCAAACAGCCATTTAAGAGGATACCTCCTCATCAGCACGTGCCCTCATTAGAGCAGCCCACCCCGCCAGCTCTGATGATGAAGTCACCAGAGAGGAACCCAATCATCTCACAGCAGACGCCGCAGCAGGGGCCTCACACATTGTTCTTCGGTGACTCAGACTCGGTGCTTTATGCTGGTAAAACTCCAACTGACTAAGAGGTCAAAAAGAGAGCCTACTGAACATTTCTGACTAACTCTGAAGGTCTTTCAGAGAGAGGAATCTTGATGAAAGCCAACACAAAAATAAAAGCCTCACGTGTAGAAAAACAGCACAATGAAAGCCGCTGTTTGCTTGATGGATGGAGGAGCTGGAACACGTACATTGTGTCTGTCCAGAGTAATGACCAGCTGTGAGAAGTAGGAGTCACATGTGGGAACTGGAGGCCTCTTGTCAGGCCAGACCCGGTCTGGTCTGGGCTTGGAAACTGACTTTTTTGGGGGGCTTGGGGCCCGGGGGTGTGGCGGTTCAGCCAGCACTTGGATTACCGTAGATTTGTCTCATAAACAATAACCAAGACGAGACTGAAGTTGTCAACATCCTTTTAATGGTTCTGTGTTTTTGTTGTCAAGTTTGGCTTCAACCCATGTGTCGACAGGTGTCATGCCGTTCTCAGCCTGGCACAGTACACTCAAGCTCCTAATGAGCCTGTATTTCTCCTGGGCTTTGGTTGCCTGGTTGTTGTTGTTGTTTTCATGCCATCAAACCTGATGTAAATATAGACCACCAGTAGTGTGTAAACCCTTTCTCACTGCAGCACAGGGGCTCTGCACTCTTGCTTTTCTCCGAGAAAGTGTACAGCTCTATGTTGGGAGCCTTGGGGAAAAACAGCCCGTCTTTGCCAAGATCAAGGGCAAATTATTGGTATGATCTCTCTAATTAGACATAATTATAGTCGAACCCGGCCAGATTAGCAGCAGTTGTATGCGTGTATGGGAGTCACCTGTTTGCCATAAATCTGGGGGCTTTGACTATAGGGAACATGCTGGAAAGTGTTTGTTACTTTTTAAAATCCCATCAGTGGGGTCTGTCCATCTGTTTCTGTTTCGGGTAGCTGATACAGTTGAGATTCTAAGAATGGGAATAGTCCTCATGAGAGCTCAGTGTTTCGGGTGTAAATCAGAGTTACCAAAGATAGATGGGGACGATTTCTTGCACACGATGACCCATTAAACAAGGTTTTCCGTTGGGTTTTTGTTGGGAGTGTACAGAATGTGGAACTTTTTAGGGACAGATCAGGTTCTTCTGTAGCTCGAGTCTCTTATATCCCGCCTCAGAAAAAACAACTTGGTTCACCTTATGCAGTTAACTTCCAAAATAGATCTGTGCTCTACAGTAGCTGCTTAGGGCAGGTAGCAGACAGGGAGCCTCTGTGGTTCTCATTCTCTCCCGAGCCCTTCATGTCTGTGTACGCTGATGAATCACCTGAACGTTGGATGTGTAGGCCAGATCCTGACTCTAAAGCTTTTGTTCAACAGCAGTAAATCTTCCCTCAGCCTGACAGTTTAACCAGGCCTGCTCTAATCCCCATATGCCAGAGTCACACTGTCAACATGTCTCTCCAATTACCGCTGCCTCCTTCTCACACAACTATTTGACATCTGTGGGAAAAAACTATTTTTTTCCCTCCTGGCTGTTTGTGAGAAATAATTTAAATGTTTTATTATTTTTTGTGTTCAGTAATGCCTGATGCTTAAGGGTTATTACTTAGGGTCTTAGAGGTCATAACAAGGGCGTGCTTATTGTCTCTTGTGGAATTTGGTTTCTTTGTTTCTCAGTCCTGAATTTGCCTCTTCTGTCAACCTACAGGTCTGCCTATCAGCACATATGCCAAGTTCTGCCATCGGAAACTGCAGAAAGTGGCGATCACCGGAGGCAAAAAGGTAACCTTCAAGAATAAGAGGAGCTAAGCTTTAAATGTTTCATTTACATGCTATCAGAAATAAGTCACTTTAACATCACAAAAAAAAAAGACGTATCCGTTTGAAAGTTGTGATTCGCATCCGAGTCATCCTAGATGTTGTTACAGAGAGAGACATAATTACAGGCACACTGACACAGTCGCAGGTACAGACATAAACACAGACCCAGTCATAGTAACGCAGCTGCAGACACAGCCGTGATTAGTATCATACCCCGTGACATACATCAAGTTGTAAACCTTTCTTCACCTCTCACCCCTCCAGGGTCTACGTAAGCCCACCTTGGAGGAGATCGACCACAGTAGGCGGGCCATCGTCACTCCCTCCCTGTTTGGCAGTTCTCTGGATGAGGTGATGGAGAGGCAGAGCGAACTATTCCCAGACAGGAAACTGCCCTGGGTGCAAGTTCAGCTTTCCCAGTATGTTCTGGCTCTGGGCGGGGCTCAGACAGAGGGCATCTTCAGGTAAGACAGACTTAACTCAGCCAATAACATGACTCAACTCGACCAATATAATAGAAGTGGAGTCTAGCAAATTAGAAGGGGATCTTATGTACTGCGTGTGTGTGTGTGCTGTATTGTATGTATAGTGTATAAACAAATGTGTGTGTGTGGTCTCCTGTATCCCTGTATTTCAAAAGAGGCTCTCCCTGGGTACAATACACACAACAGACAGCAGAACAAACACGGCCCTGCTTTGCTCCTGGGACCAGCACTGTTTAATTTGATGCTTCATAGTATGTGTTTACATTACTGCTTGAGCTTACAAGCACGTGGGAGCTTCTCAACTTTGTGTTTGTGCAGGCTTTTCTCCGGCAGATTTGATTCTGTAACATCTTGACTTGTTTAGAAAAGCGTTCCCTTTCGCCCAATGTACTATAAATGGATCTCCCTATGAAGCAGCGCTCCTACATGGGGACAGTGAACAGTGTGTTGTTTGGTTATATTATGTTTGGTCTATTTTTTTTTGTTTGTTTGTTTTGTTCCGAAGAAGTACTGCAAACAAAGAGCAGAGTAGGTTCAGCCACCAGGCCACATTTGAAGCCAACTGGGTGTACATGAGGAATGGATTTGCCACAGGGCAAGGAGAATCTGTAATGATAGAGGTAGAGGTCCCTCTAGTGGCCACTGAGTGTAACTGACATGCTGTGTTGTATCTTCAGAGTGCCTGGTGACATTGACGAAGTGAACGCGTTGAAGCTCCAAGTAGACCAGTGGAGGATCCCAGAGAATCTTTCTGACCCCAATGTTCCCGGTGAGGAATTATCTACTTCCAGCATTTGGCTCGTTTTCTGTCGGGATTCACGGGCGTATAAGTTGGGTGTGAATATGAATACTAATAGGATGTTTGTCTCTTCCAGCGTCGCTAATGAAGCTGTGGTACAGGGAGCTGGAGGAACCTCTCATCCCGATGAACTTCTACACTCAGTGTGTCAGTAACTGTGACGACCCAGTGTCGGCCATCGCTGTGGTCCAGTCTCTGCCTGAGCTCAACAGGCTGGTGCTCTGCTACTTCATCCACTTCCTGCAGGTAACCAAGATGTTGACCGAGGTTTATAATCCCCTCAAACACAGCCCGTACTTTAATTTACCCCAACCAAGGACCCTAGAAGCAGCCTTGTACCTTTGTCGCAGACGCACACCTATTTGTGATATTATATTCAGCCAGAAAACAATTTAGTTATTGCCAACTTAAACTAGTAGATACTTAAATAACTAAACTGTCAAAACAAAAACTCATGAATTAACTCAAACTTAATCAAAAAAAAACATTATGTAATGCCTGAAATTTTTGAAATTTTATGTTTTACTTTGTGAGGTGTTTCAAAATGATTTTTTTTGGCTGTTTTAACTGACTGAAGAAAGAGTATTCACACTAGGGGATAATTGGGACGATTTGGGTTTGATTTTGATTTGACGTTCCTGAGCTGGTCCGAACAGATTATCGGCCCAAATGATACTGTAGTATGAGGGGGTTTACAGATATCAACTTAAGGCCGCTGACTGAATCGGAGGCTCCCTGATTTCGAATTTGGGAGGGTCTGATCAGAAACCCGCAACAGCCAATGAGAGCGAGCAGGCTGGGAAGCGTCACCAAACGTGTTGGGTATATGCTTGCGCTATAAAATGTATAAACCATGTAGATTCCCACTTCTCAGCCATGAGTTAATCTGTTCATCTACAGTTTTATTCTTTGTTTTTCTGTGTAAAACATAGCACACACAAGTGCAACCAGATGATAAACTGCATCCATGTTTGTCTGAAATCGTTGAGTATAAACGCCAAGTGGTGTGGTCCTGCGTCTTGACTGAATGGTCTGGTGTTCTTAAGATTAAAATCGGTTAATCGGTTAACTCTGTATTTATGTCTGGGGTATCCTATGTTTTTAAAACTGATTTGAAAATCCTCTAGTCTGCACCAGGCATTACTTTACTTAAGAATGTACTTTTAATAGTTGTTTTTTTTACACAATACCTTCTGTATACAGTGATTGTTGTAAACTGATCCTGACATATTAAAAAATGATTAACTCTACAAAATAATAAAACTAAATCTCACAATTGTTCAAAAACAAAAAGTCAACTCAAACTTAACTCTACACTGAAATGAAATCGTTCCCCAACTTGGACCACTGTACATAAACTTTGAAAATTTAAAACATGAATATAATTGAGCTCTTTGATAACTGATTGTGATACATTACTCACTGCAAATCAAAGGTCAGCCTTTACACTGTTCTCACTGCGTCCACTTTCCTATATCCTGATTATTTGTAGGTTTTCGCTCAGCCATCCAACGTGGCTATAACAAAGATGGATGTGAACAACCTGGCCATGGTGATGGCCCCCAATTGCCTTCGATGCCAGTCCGATGATCCGCGGATCATCTTTGAGAACACACGGAAGGAGATGTCCTTTCTGAGGATGCTCATCGTTCACCTGGACACCAGTTTCATTGAAGGGGTGGTGTAGATACTGTAAACCACAGAGCCCACCTTGGGAGCTGAATCAACCCTCCAGCATCTCCAGTGACACATTTACAATCATGCATAAACACTGTTTCTGTTCAGACCACACTGGAAACTCTTGGGGTGAGATATTAACACCTCTTACAACACAAGCAGTGACAGCTTGGATTTTGGACCCTTGTTCTCATTTGCTTTCTTACTGAGGGACAAAACACACCACCTTAGGTTTCACTGTGTTTTTTTGATACTAAAATCCAGTGGCTCACTTTAATGACTATTTTCTAACTGCTACATGTGAAAACAGATTTACTCTTTCATTTCTTCCTTAATGGGAAGTACTCGTTTCCTTGGACAACTAGGCTGTGTAAAGTGAGAGAGTCTTACAGTATTTACTTCACTTGCAAAACAAGAGTAAAGACAACAGTGTTGACACGCCACTTTTTTTGTACTCTGGTTTCACTCAAGTGTGTTTGTGTGTGTGATTGTCAGTGTGAACGAAAGACATCACCTTATTTTTGTCATTTACAGAAAATATGGAAAAGTAAAAGAGCTTCTGCACGGTGTTTTATTAATAAGCTTGCCTGTGCTGTTTTGAGTAGTTGTACTGATAGCCGCCTCGTATTTCATTTTACGAGACGCAGTAAGACGTGCCGCCACAACTATTTTGACAGAGTACAGAGCCAAAGCACAAACTGGAAAGATGCGCAGAAAGCTCTTTTTAACTGATAGTGGCTAGAAAATAAACTTGGAAGGGCTTTGCTTTTACAGCTCTGAACACTCGAGTGAAGCCAGACAAGAGTGTTGTAATTACAGTTTATGTCATAGCGATGTGGGAGGCTGGTTATTCAACTGATAATACTCTATCTATTATCTATAAGTCTTTGAATTGGAATTGTGTTCTCTTTTGTTTGTGGTCTGTATGTTTTTTTGGCTCAGGTCTTATGATAAAACGGGTGTTGTGATAACTGTACATGGCCTCCGTCAGAGACTGAAAATTTTATTAATATACCACAAACCCCAATACTGAGAAAAGAGTATTGTTCAACTGTCAAGCACTATGAGAATGTAGATTACAATTTTTGTGTCCCCACTCGGGCTTTGCCAATGTAAATAAATTCTGTGTGTAAATAGTACTAACTCTCCTTAAGTGTACTCTAATGATTAAGGGTGAAGTTCATTATTGCTGTAAAGAGCAATAAAAAAGGTGTTTTTGTAATTAACTGTTAATTTCTCTGCTGTAACCGCCTGCCTTTTGAACATAGGACTGATTCAAACCACTTTCCATGTGTGTATATGTGTGTTTGCATATCTGCTTGTTATAATATAGAATGACTGTCCATAAATAAAAGTTTGTTCAATTGTAGGTTGGATGCCTCATGTTTATTTTTGGGGCATGTTGACTTTATTTTGATAGTGGGTTGTAGAGAGGAAACGGGAAATGAGGGGAGAGGGATGAGGGACAACATGCAACAAAGACCCCCGGCAGGAAGCTGCGACCACGTGATTAATGTCTTAAATTGGTCACTGGAGAACTTTTCATTTGCCTCTTGTAAAGCATTAATTCTGAATTATAGTATTTCTTAATTAGCTGGTAGGACAAAAACAATATTTTTCAAACTTGAAAAAGGCACTTCATGCCTTGATTGAATAAGAAAATGCTGACGTAGCAAAATTGGCTCAACAAACAATATGTGGTGCACAGCTGAATTTCTAGGATAATTCTCCACTTAAGCCCTGCGATGGATTGCCGACCTGTCCAGGGTGTACCCCGCCTTTCGCCTGATGTCAGCTGGAATTGGCTCCAGCCCCCCGCGACCCTGTACACCGCATAAGCGTTTGAAGATGGATGGATGGTTTCCACAGTTTAAGGGATATTTAATAGGTCAAATCACTATTCACAAAATAACATGACACATATTCCTTAATTTGGACCTTAGATGTATATTACCATTCAAATTAAGTGTTTACCCCTAAATATTGATACATAACTGATACATTAGTGGACTTGTACATATTAAAATATTTTAATGTATTATATGCAGGCTTTGAGGGATTTTTGAGCTCTTGAAATCAACAAAAACATGAAAACTATCCCTGAACTGAAATTAACGTCCTTTTAAGTTATCAGGTTATTCATGGTTTTTAGACATTTTGAAGGGTTTTTACTCTGCACCTACCATGCTTATGCTCCAAATCCCTTAATATAGTAATCCATTACATCTATTAAATATCCCCTTAATATCCCAGTAAAACTACTAATAACTAATTATATTACCATTAATGGAAAAATAAATGTTTTACTTTGAAAAACTAAGAAATTTGTTTTAAGGAGGTTCTGCTGGTCTGTCCTGGCAACTTCTCCCCTCTGGTAGGTGCTACAGAGCACTCTGCTGCATTGCACTATTGTCTTGCTCTCTACAAATGTTGTTTTTGTTTTATGTTTGTGTATATGTATATGTGTGTATCTGTACATGGTAATTTGTGTCTGTTTCTTGTTGTCGAGCTTTTAGCCGTGTTTGTTTATTCTTGCTCTGTGTATGTAAGACCAGAGTCAAACTCCACATACCTACCTACCATATTCTGATATACTTTTATGGTTTTGATTTGGCAGTGCAAACTGTACGCATTTCTCAATTCACCAGTATTTCATATTAAAAGGGAACACTTGCAATGTGTTACACAATCAGACATAGACAAGAAGCATCTATTTATCTCCTGTGTTTTGGACAGCTAAAGAAGCATCTCATGTCAGCTTTAGACACACAACATTCAGAAAGCTATTTGCCCAGGGTTATAACAGTCTTATTCCTTTGTATCTGCACAGGTGAAAGGCATCACCCTCACTCATCCAATGCACAAAACTACCACCTGCTTCATCTGTCACGGTAGAAATCCTGTACCTGTACCACTGGTGAAAAGCTGGCCAGCCATTATAACTATGACAGCAGTGTGAGACGACCTCTGGTCTCAGCCTGGAACAAGTTAAAGAAAACAGACACAGGACAGGAAATGACATAGAATTGTACCTTTGTTTACTGAGTGTTGTTACTATGGTTTTACTACAGTATTTCAGGTACTATTATTATTATTATTATTATTATGAGTTTTTCAGAGAGTTTACAGTTGCACCACATTCATCAGTAGTTTGTTAAATCATAGCTGAAGAATTGTACATAAGTATACTTTTTAATGTAGGCCTCCTGGTACTTTACTGATGTATTCAAATTTTGCACCACTTCAGAGTTACATTTACATTTACTCATTTGGTGCTTTTATCCAAAGCGACTTACATTTGAGGAACAACATACAAGCATCAACAGAGCAACTACAGATCTACAACTGACAATACATACTAGAAAGAGCAGCAATAAATACTAGTAAGAGCTCACAGTACATATCACATCAATGGGGTAAATACCTAGGGAAGGAAGTAAGAGTTAACAAAAAGTGCAATCAATACAAGATAATTGTAGGGGATAGAAGAAGAAGAGCACAGGAAGTGCATGTTAGAGGTGTTATAAGAGGAAGTGTTCTCGGAAGAGATGAGTTTTCAAGAGCTTCTTGAAGTTGGAGAGGGACGCCCCTGCTCTGATGGCGTGTGGTAGCTCATTCCACCATCGTGGTGTCACAGATGAGAATAGCGGGGACTGGGATTGCTTTGTGTGAAGGGATGGCAGAGCCAGGCGGCGTTCGTTGGAGGAGCGTAGCGGCCGAGAAGGAATGTAAGTTTGTATTATGGAGTTTAGGTAGATGGGTGCAGACCCAGTAGTCACTCTGTATGCAAGCATTAGTGACTTGAATTTGATTCTGGAGGCCACGGGGAGCCAGTGGAGGTCACTGAGTAATGGAGTGACATGAGTCCTTTTGGGCTGATCAAAAACCAGACGTGCTGCTGCGTTCTGAACCATTTGTAAGGGTTTCACCGCACATTGCTGGAAGACCTGCTAGGAGGGCATTGCAATAGTCGATGCGAGAGATAACCATGGCCTGTACCAGAAGCTGGGTGGCGTACTGAGTGAGGTAGGGCCTGATTTTCCTTATGTTGTATAGAGCAAAGCGGCATGATGGAGAGACAGTAGCAACATGGTCTGAAAAGGACAGCTGGTCATCAATCATGACACCCAAGTTAAACATACTTTCTACTCCATCAGTACTGTAATTGTAGGCAGTAGATCCACTCAGCTCCAATTGAATCTTGTTTACAGTCAACATTAAGATAAGTGATGAAATGAGGACTTTTCCATTGTGGTAGGCCTATTGGTACTTTTTATTTAACTAAGAAATTTGACTCTTCCTGATGAAAAGATTGCAAAAACATTAGAATCAATGAATGTATTAAAATAGTGATAGAACACTAGTGTAGGTAATGTTAGAAATGTATCACATAAAGCCAATTATGTTTCGATGAAACGCACAACTTGTACATTGACTGAGTTTAGATTAGCCTCCACTCCTGTAAACAAGCAGCAGTTGTTTTGAATGAACGGTGGCTGGAGCTATGCGCCCAGTGATCTGTAGATAGGTGTGAATAACAACTCACTGGATCCAAATGAATTCATATGCAAAAGTCACAAAAGTTGTAATGTTGACCTGTATTTGATTAATGCCACCGTTGAGAATATAAACTGGTTATATGCCATGTGGCGAAATCTTGTTCATTCAGGTCCATTTAAAATGTATTTATGAAAATACATAAACATGTTAAAAGCGACACATTTCAGGCATCAAATGATGTCAAATGAGGAGGGTTCGGGTCGGTTGTACGCGCATGCGCATTGTAGCGCCACACAGCCCGCGCCGGTGGTGAATGCAACTGGGGGAAATTCAGCTGCGTGATCTGAACCAGACAGGCGGAGGCGGCGGTACCTGCACTTTAAGGGGATTACACCGCACATTTGACATCCAACCGGACAAAGAGTGACCGGAGACCAGGTACGAAGTCCACATCGCATCTCCCCTTGGGTCCAGAGTTTAAAATGCCTTAAACGAGGCCCGTTTGCTGGAATTATATCAGCAGTGTAGATGGTGTGGTGCCGCATGTCGGCTTTTTGAGTTCAAAACAAACGTGACGAAGTAGGTAATAAAATGTAATGTTTGTACATTTCGTTGTCGTAGTTGTGTAATTACCTGTGTGTTCCTTGTTCCTCGTATGCTTTTTCACTAGGTGCTTTTAAGGGGCGCCGTGGTTTGTCAGTTGTGGAAGTTTAATGATTTGCATTATCACGCCGCTCGCTCACAGCAGGAGAAGTATACGAAGTAGGCCTAGCGCGAGGCCCCGACGAGCTCTTTGAGTGACAGCTGCACAGCTAATCAGATGCCAGTATCCCGCAGTCACAGAGTCTTTCGGCCAGTTATATTTCACTAAAGCGGTGACGTAACAACGGTTTCTGGTTATAAAAGAGCGGACAACAAAGTGCAAACAACATTAGTGGAAGTGTTAAACAACGGGATACCTGGAAGAACATGGGGAAACGTCTTTTTTTTTTTTTTTTTCTGAACTCAGTGTGAACTTGAAGGGCGTGGAGTGCTGTTAATTCCGATTACTACAGTAAAATATCAACACGAGATGAAATTAAATGTTGCAGGATATTTTTTTCTTGCAACACCACATTTAAACTGAAATCCGTAACCCTTTTCCTGACTCATGTTTGTGGCATCACCAGCTCCGGATCTGTGTCGCTGTCGTCAGTCTGTGCTCTCTGTGCAGGGCATGAAACACCCAATTTAATTTTAAAATGTTGCATTTTACTGAACACGATATTGATCGCTCTTTAGTATCGTGCTAGGTATCCGCCTGCAACAGACGGGCAATCAAAAGGGCCTTTCCCATTGTCTCCTATTGTGTCTATGCGTGAGGTCGGCTGACCAGAAAACACGTGGGCCGAGCAGTGTGAAGATATCCGGTTTGTAGATTGCGCTGAAAGCCACAAACTGCAGGCTGTCTCCGCTATGGCGAACCGATTCTGCTATAACCTGGACAAAAGTAAGACGTTTTTATAACGTTATATGTAATGTAAATGATTTAGCGCTTGATAAATGGCGGCGACATCTCAGCCTGTCCTGTGTTCTGTGTGCCAGATAAAGGAGGCGCTGTTATCGGGAGGGAATTTATGTTTTCTATGGTAGACACAAAGATTATGCTTCTCTACCAAACACTTAAAGCTCAGGGGCTGAAAATGAACAGTAGGCTGCGTGTCTGTATTTGATGAGACCGCATTGACAAGGACTGCTGTTTAAATCAGGCGAGTTTTAGCTTGGTGCATGATTGCATAATTGCCTGCCCACTGTAACGTTACCGGTGTGTGCTTACAGTAGGAGGTGAAAGCTATGAACAAGTCATCTTAGTCATTCATGCACCTCCTCTCGTTTTCCCTTCTTGGTGGGGAATACAATAATACTGAAATTAAATATTGCTCATGATATTGATCCTCACGGGGGACATGTGTGCTCTCTAGACATTGCTGTTCTCTCAACTAGTGATCACTGAACATCTGGTATTAGTTACACATTTCACCACCATTCCAGGGGCATGGCTCACCGTAATATGTCAGTTTTCCCTCGCTTTACACTGTGTTGCGCTATAATACAACATGTCTAATCTGCAGCTTGTGTATGTCCTTTGCCAGTCTGGACTGCATTATTGTTCTGCTGGCTATAGTGGGAGTGGCTTACTTGGTTTTAACACCAACATTGCTCCTGCTGTGCAGAGCTGTGATTTGCCACAGTCTTCTGGTAAAATAATTATTAGTGATGTCCTGAGAGAGACGAGGCTGACTGCAAGATTGTCTGTGAAATCCTTGATAATCACATGTTTTTCACGTATTTTGTTCTTTGCTAGACACAATGTACTCAAGGTCATACGGGTGTAGTCTTGATTGGTATGTTTATCGGTTTGTGTGTGTGTGTGTGTGTGTGTGTGTACAGGAAGGGAGCCTTGATGTGGGCAGTATGAGTAAGACGCCCCCTAACAGAAGAGGCATAACATTTGAGGTGGGAGCTCAGCTTGAGGCCAGAGACAGCCTCAAAAACTGGTGAGTCATGGCCTCGCTCATTCCTCTCCATCCCTGTAGCTGTTCTCTTCCCTCACTCTCTCTCATAGATTCTCATTCTCCTTTCTGGGGCCTGGGTTTGCTATTCTGTATGTTTATCAAACATTAAAAGAGAGAGGAAAACCTCTCAGAGCTGTCATTTCTCCTTTGCCTCTCAGCAAGAGCTGGTGTGTGCTCTCAAGCAACATTTGATCTGGAGTGATAATGAAGGACAGTAAAAAGAATCTGACCGTCATTTTAATTGTTACGATATAATTAAAGATAGATATAGATTAAAAAAATGAACCTGACAAATAAACTCACCTCCTTAAATGTTGGGAATGAAAGTGTTACTGGAGGTTGTAACTTTAATGTAGTAATGAATTTGTAAATGATAAAAGTAATCACACTGGCGACCTGTCCAGGGTGAACCCCGCCTTGCGACCGATGTCAGCTGGGATTGGCTCCAGCCCCCCCGCGACCCTGTATGCAGGATAAGCGGTTGACGATGGATGAATGGATGGAAAAGTAATCACATTACAGTAGCATGTTAATACCCTAGCTCCCAGCACACCGGCCTCTTAAGTTAAGCAGTGCCTCATGATTCATTGTGTTTCTTTTATGTTTGACTTTTTCCTAGTTTTCTGGTCATTTCTACTGATTTGCCTCCCTCATTATATGTTTGGGATAAAGGATAAGGAATTTCAACATCTCCCTCCCCAGTCACGCATTATTACTTTCTTTTTATCATTTAGGTATGCTGCCAACATAGAGAAGATTGACTACGAAGGTGAAAAAGTACTCATCCATTACCGCCAGTGGAGCCACCGTTACGACGAGTGGTTTGACTGGACAAGTCCCTACCTGAGACCAGTAGAGAGAGTTCAGCTGAGGCGGCAGGGCCTGCAGGACGACGCTCCAGTGCCTGTAAGCTAACAACGCCGTTCGTGCTTGCTTTGAGCTGTGTTGGATAGAGAAATTAGAAGTTTTGCTCCATGTCCGGGGTTATGTTGTGTTCATCTTGCCTTTGTTCCACACTGTATTTCTTTTTAATAAAGGTCAGGGTTTTTCTTGGTTCAAAATGAGGCGGAGGTAGTACCATCCTGATCACATGCACACATGTGCATGTGGGCCGCGCCTTCAACTGGGTGACTTGTGTGTTCATTTACAATTAAAAAGCAGCAGGTTGTTTCAAATCAATTCAAATCTAACATAAGCTATTGTTTTCATTTATAGTTCTCTCTGTGGCTGATGTGAATTCCTAGATAGGAAATATTCATCTGCAATTCTCTGTAGTGGGTAGAGTTGGGCCGATAGACGATGCCATCGTCCATGGCTGGATGGCTAACAGATGGTCGATAGTTGAGCAGGCATCGTAATTGTAAACCTCGGGGGGGGGGGGGGGGGGAATCAAAATTTTTCACATAATACTGCCTTGTGAAAGTAGGTTTTAGTCACCACGAACATTATTTTTGTCATAAATTTTAATTCTCTTCTCCCTACTCTCAGACACACACGAGGCCTACACCTTAGTTAAACACACCGGCTTGCCCCGCTTCTCTCTGTCTCCCCCCTCGCCCGTCTACTCCACTTTCTCCATCAGCAGTATGTTTTATAAAGTTGTCTAAAAGACACAGAACTCGTCTTTTGTCTGTATTTTTCATTGTGATGCAGCCTGTCAAACAACCAAAACCAATATCTGCACACTGTGTGTTCACTGCTGCATCACCTGGTCAGTGCTTGGATATTTTACAAGTGACGTCATTTTAGACACTTGCAGCAGAACCAAATTTGATGGCCGCCATGTAATTCTCTATGCAGGAAAAATCTTGCTTAGAATTCTGTTAGGAGGTGAAGCTGTTAAACGCTATCAGGTGCCTACAGTATGTCCTAGATCAAATGTCTCTGTCCTTCCTCCAGGGCTTTCATGTGAATGACAAGGTCCTGGCCAGCTGGTCTGACTGCCGTTTCTACCCCGCTAAGGTCATTTCAGTCAATAAAGATGGTGGGTATCAATAACCTCAGTTGTTAAACATTTTCTATTTTGTACAGGTTTTGAGTAGAACTCTACCTAAAGTGTTGTCTAAAAGTGTCACTTCTGTTTTCTAAAAGGAAACTGTGGTATGGTGATCAAAAATAGCTAAATGACTTTTACTCTCACTGGCACAGCAAAGAGAAACTGATAGATCTGATGCACAGGGTATATCTTGTGCCATTAACAAAAAGTACGTTGAAGAAGTTGAAGTTTAGCTACTTCAAAACTAGTTTGCAATCGGCTTCATGACTAGCAGCTGGCACTGATGTAAAACATGGTTCTCCTTTATTCCCCCCAGCATCCTACATTGTGAAGTTCTATGATGGCGTTATCCAGACAGTGAAGGGAATACACGTGAAGCCTTTTATTAAAGAGGTAAATGTAATTAGTCAGCATAAATATCCATAGTCAATCTTGTGTACATATTTGACGCTGTCTCTATGTATTCTTTGTCCTCCATCAATCATGTTTTGAGCGCCATTTTCTGCTCTTCTTTCACAATCTTCCTCTTTGTCCTGCTGACAAATAGAGAGGTGGTGTTGGTGGAGGGAAGTCTCGGTCCACTGAAAGGAACATGGTTAGGAGGGTCCCGAACCGCAGAGACAGGAGGCCTCAGGAGAACGGCGGCCCTAAGAACAAGCGAGCCAGGCGCAGCACCTCTGACCAGGAGGAGGACAGTAACAGTGAGGACGAGGAGCGGGAAGAAGGGATGGTAAACGAGAAGAACAAGAAAACAAACGGTGAGGTGGAGGCCGCACCCTCTATCAAACAGGAAGAGGAAATATCTGAGCAAGCAGACCAAAACAAGCCCAGGGATGTGGAAAAGGGGACCGGACTCACAAATGGGGTGAAGGTAGAAGAAGACGATGAGCAAAACGAAGAAAGAAGTCACTTAAATGGAGAGGTAAAGAAGGAGGAGGTGGACTCAGAACGCAGTGGAACAAAGCCATACACAGAGTTGCCCAAGCCATACACAGAGCTGCCCACTCAGACATCGGCACCGACGGAGCAGGTGTCTGTCACTATGACAACCACAGAATCAAATGGAGATGCGGAGCAGAAGCCAAACGTCCAATCAGAAAGCTCTCAGCCTGTGGCAGATGTGCCGCCTCCCCAGCCTGTGAAACGTATGTGTTAATTGCGTAAATTGGCAGACTTGTCAAAGTGAAATATCACATAGCATCGGGACTAATTTTCAAGACGTGAATAAATGAATGTCTTTGTTTTATGTCTGATAGCGGTAAGGAAGCAGGGTTTCCACAACCCCAACAGATTCAGCAGAGAACCATGTGAGTTCAAGTACTCCCTAACATATCAAACAAATACACTCATTGTTTGCATTCTTTGATGTACTTTGTACTATACACGCGTGACTTATGTTCCTTGTTTTAGTGTACCGAGTTATCAAGAACCAACCGCCCCCCGTCTTGTCCATCAACCTCGACCACAATCCGTTTAAGTGCAGCGCTCCTGGCTGTACAAAGTCATTCCGAAAGGCCAAGCTGCTGCACTACCATATGAAATATTATCATGGCGAGGAGCAGCCTCTGGAGGGAGAGGGCAGCCCCACCAGGAGCGTCCAGACCAGGGCCTCTGAGAAACAGGTTACTACCACCGGTTTGGACGGCCCAAAAAGAAGGCGCACCATCTCTGCCTCTATGCGTAAGTTCCTCTGTAGATTCATCTCTGTCAGGCAGAAAAAGAGTCTTATTGGAAGCTGGATAAACTACTGTTTATACAATGCGTATATGCAACAACAAAATCAAGAACGCTGAACCATAACATGCTTTATTACTAATCATACATTTCCAAAACGGGGCTGAATTGTAAATATTGCACATCCAGCCTTGCTTAAATATCAGGGCTTCCAGCTTACATTTACCCTTTTCTGTGATTTTTCTCAGACTCTGTTGGAGCTGCTGCAGCTCCCCGTGGTGAGGTGAAGACTGCAGGCAGACGCACATCAGCCCCGCCTGTAGTCAACACCCAGGGCCTTCAGCAGAGGACACTGCTGAGGGAGAAGAGTAAAGAGAACCAGCTGGACAGGAATGGATGCCAACAACAGGACAAGGACTCAGACAAGAGTGGCTTTGACATTGGTCAGTATCATGCAGTACAAATGTGTTGTTCATTAAGTAGGAAAGTGACAGAGTCCTGCTCGTCACTGCTCTCTTCTTACAGTACATTTTAGCTTCTAGAATAGTTATCTGCCGTGTTATCTGTGCACAGACGATGCTTAACTCTTACCACTTAACGGTCCCCAGGGTCAGTAAAAGACAAACTGAAAGAGAAACCGAAACAGAAGGACTTCCTCCGCATTAAACTAAAGAAGAAGAAGAAGAAAAAGAAGGCCAAGTCTGGTAAGAAGGGGTCGCTGGCGCACCGGGCCTCCTCACATAACTGCTGCTCTGCATGTGCACTCACAGTGACATCGTGGAAACGCCTAGCCTGCACAGCATAAAGTTCACTCCTACATTCACTCCTCCTGGTGTGGTGGCTGAGCCTTTGTGTGTGGGAGAAGTGTCTCATCTGCCGCTGATCTGTCACCATTATGCCTATCAAAAAGCTCAAACTCATTTCTTTTGCATCATAGCTTGCATTTCCTCTCGTACATGACATCTCTGACAGTACTGGTGTATTAAAGCCAGATGATATTGTACCTCTGATTTTGACTAATCCAAAACACAAATCCAATTCTGTTCTCTCTATTCCTTGTTGGCATTCACATGTATGTACAGTATGTTTGGCATGAACACAGAAGTATGGTGTCCCTTCCTCACTGGTTATTTCTTACTATTAAAAGTCCTAAAACACGGGCCAGTAAGGATTTTATCAACTTGATTGTCCCTGACTGTTCCTAAGTCTATTATTTGTCCATGTTTGTTGTGCCAGTTTGTCTCCTCCTGATGGACGTTTGTTTAGCATTTTCAAAGTTGACATTTTGTTCTACGTCTGCTCCCCCCCCCCCCCCATTCCCTGTATTAACAGACTACACAGGTAGTGAGGAGAATATTGACATCTCAGTATTGGGTCTTGAGTCCAAATTGAATTTGCAACTCAAATCCCCCCCCTCACACAATCACAAGCCTGAGGCCTACTCCAGCAGGCCCGGATTCAGCTACTCAGAGCAGATATATGTGGATGGTGGGTATCTCTGATGGTGTGTGCGTGTGTATTAGTTTGTGTGTGACCGTACATTGCTTCCTCTTCCCTCCATTCTTCAGTTCCCTCTGGATTCAATCCATCTTGCTGTTGTTTTAGTTTGAAGTGCATCACACCTAGTAATTTGTGTCCAAATGTTGTTGCTCATAACACACAATGATGAGAATTAAATGGGCTGCTGTCACAGGTAAAATCTTTTCTTTTTTTATAGCTTGGTTGATTGAATCCTGAGCTGTTCTTTGCTGCTACGGCTTGCTTCATCATGTAATCTGCAAATATTAATTTAAAATCACAAGTTGCAAAAAAAACATTGTTGTTAAAGAATATTAAATGAGCTACAGTTGTTATTCCCACAAAAAACAAGTTTAGTTTTTGCCCCATGTTACTGTAGATGAGGATAGCATCAGTGACTGGTCCACTGACAGCTGTGGATGGAGCGACGAGGACTTTGGGGTGGATTTGGACGTCACCACTCCTCCCCTGAGTGTGGACTCCGGCGCTGTGGACACAAGTGACCAAGAGATCGTGCGATGTATCTGTGAGGTGGAGGAAGAAAATGACTTCATGATTCAGGTGAGATGGTTGTCTTTTGTCACCACTTAAAGCTAGTTTTTAAGGCATTGCAAGCTCTTCTTATTATTTATTTATTTATTTATTTATTTTTTAATAAATCTCCAAGTCGCATTTACATAAAACATACTTGCCCTTCCCTCAGTGTGAAGATTGTTTGTGCTGGCAACACGGCACCTGCATGGGCCTGCTGGAAGACAATGTTCCAGACAGATACACCTGCTACATCTGCAGAGACCCACCAGGTGAGTGTGTAATTTAACTATAAATTACACACTGTCATCATTTAGATTTGTTGACATCAAAGCACTTATGTTAGCATTGCAGACTCTTTAATTTGGCAAAGTATTATCTGCCATCTAGTGGACAATTAGAAAAATGACACTAGGTAAAATAAACAGTAAATTGTGATTTTATGTAAAAGTATATTTTTAAATAACCATTACAGTACATTATGTAATTATAGTGCTGTATGTTTTATATTGTGATTCTAAAGGTTACTTCCTATGTAAAAGAATTACCTGGTTTGCACAGTTTTGCCCCAGATTCTGTGTTTCCAATAATCAAAACGTTGTCCTGTTTCCTACTAAAGGAGAACAGTGTTTACCACATGAAAAAGTAAACTGGGTCCCAGTGTGGCAAGCACAGCACAGAATATACTTCCAGTTACAGGTAGTGATGAGAACGAATAGAAGAGCCATTGATTATTATTCAGTTAAACCCCAAAGTTGAGCCCCTCAATATCAAAACAGTGAAACCACAAAATGTTTGTGCTGCATATTTACTTTTGCCTTATTGATTTAAATAAAAAGGGAGCTGTAAGGATTGTCCCCTGGCCTGAACGACTCAGGCCATTGTTTTTCAGCAAATGAGATAGTCCTTAGGGCCTTGCAAGTGTGTGGAAATAAATAACGTAATAATTGTACAGAAGCTGTTTTTAGCTACAGAAAACTGTTTTAAGAAACAGAGCTACATCTCTACCAAGGTGGAGGATGCATGATCAGAGCAAGTGACACACACTGCTTATAAAGCAAAGAATTGAATTAAAGCGGTTTCCTGCTGTCAAAAAGTGTCACACCCCAATTAACCAACGACAACAGCAAGCACACTTAGCTCTTAAAGAGAGACTTTTGATCACCTAGCTGCACTAACAAAACCTTTTTTTGTAAAGAATTCCTGAACAACTCATTGCATTTGATAAAATTTTATTGCAATTTGTTCATCATTCCCAGGTCAGCGGCAGAGTCTGCGCTACTGGTATGATCGTGAATGGTTGAGCAACGGTCACATGTACGGCCTCTCCTTCCTGGAAGAGAACTACTCTCACCAAAACGCCAAAAAGATCACCACCACCCACCAGCTGCTGGGAGATGTGCACCACGTGGTAGAGGTCCTTAACGGACTGCAGCTCAAGATGAGCGTTCTACAGTGAGTACAGAGAAATTGCATGCAGAGACTTGAGAGTTTTCCTGATGATGTCAAATTAAATGTGGATCATGACAGAGATTGGCTATTGTCGTCCAGGGTGATTTTAATAAACCAACACAGCTGTGTTTTAATTAGATTTTCTCTTTTTCTCTTCAGGAGCAATACTCATCCTGACTTGCAGCTGTGGCGGCAGCCTTGGAAGCATTTGGAGAGGTCACGGACCGGTTCAGTCTCGTGTCGTGGCAGTGATGCAGCTCCATCTCCCGTCACTCCCGATGAGGACATGAGCCGAGGTGAGATTTTAATGTCCAATGCTCTGGAGAAGCTGAGCCGGGCAGCTACAGCTGCCACCTCCTCCTCGTCCTGCTCTTCCTCCCCCTTCCCGTCCTTCCAGGACTCATACATTACCAGTGAACATTGCTACCAGAAACCTCGGGCTTATTACCCGGCGGTGGAACAGAGGCTGGTGGTGGAGACCCGACAGGGCTCAGAGCTGGAGGACAGCATGAGAAGCACAGAGGAACTGTTGGAACGGGAGCAGCGCTACGGAAGCCTGCTGGAGACAGACAAGCCCAAATCAACAGGAACCATTAACAAGGTTAGGCTTTATTCCATAGCAGATAAGGATGTTTAAAATGCAGCCCGAGTTGTCACTGTGGAGTAGTGAAATGAGCATAACCAGTCACACCAGTCCAGAAATATTTTTCCCTTCTGTAAAATGACATTTGAAAGTGGACTGTATGTTTTTCAAAATGAACACAGGAATTTTCAGGATAATTATCAGGACGTACTACATAGAGAAAATATGATTTCTTCATAAAGTTGACCTGTCCGTTTGCTCACTCAAGTAGCACAAAATGTCTCCAGTATCCGTGACCTCAGTATCATTTGCTGTGGAGAAGATGATTTTCAGAATGCAGGCTGTACTGCATCAGCTGCAGAATTGATCTTGAATTAAACAAGATTCTGAGTGAAATTATCAAAGTGTTACAAAGCTCAACTTCCTAACTCCCCCCTGCTGTTTTCTTTGCTGGTTTTTTTTAGCCATATTTTCCCTTGGACTCATTAATGACTCCCCCCCCCCCCCCCCCCCCTCGATTATAGAGTGGACACCAGAACATTTTAAATGTTTAAGTTGTCATGGCGACATTACTTCTAAGTTGCTCAAGAGATTTCTGGATTTGGCTCCGTTTTTGTCTGACCATTATCCTGTAACTATCTCCTTTTTTTTTTTTTTAAGGTAGATTTATTTATCATTTTACAACACAGGGTTGTATAACAAGAAGTTGTAGTTCCCTTTATTTTGCTCACAAAAACAGAAACAAAACTTTAATAAATAGGGGCGAATTAATGGGTGAATAAATAAGTAATAGACATAAAGCTATTTTAAATGGTGGAGTGCTGATGGTGAATGGAGAAGTCTTACAGCCTGGGGGAAGAAGCTGCTCTGAAGATTGGTTGTATGACAGCAGATACTTCTGTATCTCTTGCCAGACAGCAGCAGGGTGAACAGGCTGTGGCTGGGTGGGTACTGTCTTTTACTGTGTTTTCTTTGGGCTCTGCGTACTTCACAACACCGATATCACTGCTGCTCGGTAGATGGGTACCAATGATCTGCTGAGCAGTTGTAATCACCTGCTACAGAGCCCTCCTGTCCTGGGCCGTGCACATCCATGCCAGTTTGTGATGTTTCCAGTAGGGCTGAAACAATTCAGCGATTTGATTAATTACATTACTAAAAAGCACCGACAAGGTAACAGCAACTTTAGCATTTAACTGAAATCATGATTGATTGTTGAGTTGAAGGCTAGCCAAAGTAAGCCGCAATCCTCAGCTGAAAATGTGCACACGGGCATCTGTTGTTCTCCACCTGGTTGGGCCGTGACTTTGGGTTTTAACGTCACAGTCCGGAGTTAACTGGGTGTCTGGGATTCTGAACTTTAGTATAACTTGTACTCAGGTGATGTTTGTGTTGGTAAAGCAGTTGTGTGGTTGTTGGTCTGATGTTTGCTGTAAGCAACACTATGAATTTCCAAAAGGACTAATAAATATCTATCAACTCACAACTGATCCCGTTACCGGGTCGGCCGCCGCCAAGCAAAAGTGTTGATGCATCGATTAAATAAACTGTAGAAGCTTTGAGTACTAAAATCGTTAGCTGAAGCCCTAGTTTTCAGTCAGGATGCTTTCTGTTTCTCCCCTGTAAATGTTAACCAGAACGCTGCACAGGAATTTGGCCATCTTAATCTCCTCCAGAAATGCAGCCATTTCTGAGCTTTCTTTACCACCGTGGCGATGTGAGATGACCATGTCAGGTTCTCTGTGATGCTGATTCCCAGGAACCTGAAATTGTTCACCTGCTCCACCGTAGCTCCACTGATGTAGACAGGAGTGCGTGTCTTTGCCTTTTGGTTGTTTATCTCTTGTGTGCATGAATACTGTGTGAATTGATTTGGCAGAAAGCTTTTTTGTAGAATGAGGTCTAAACCTGGCTGTAATGAAAATCTTGTCTGATGATTTCACCTGAATGTCTTTAGGCTTCAATTGGTGGCTCTTGGTCCCAGGCTGAGACGAGGGAAGAGAGTGGAAGAGATCCTGGGGAGGCCGCAGATAACAGCAGGCAGCATCAACAGAGGCAGATCAACCTGCTGGATCACATAGATGCAGTCCAGGACGAGGTATCACACAGGATGGACTTCATTGAGAGGGAGCTTGACGGTAAGACCTGCGGTGGCCTTTACCTACTAGCAACTAAATTTCGTCTCATCAGAAACTTTCAAAGGTTTTTGCTCAAAATGATCATAAGATTAGATTTTGAAAACGGTGAAGATGACACCTGCTTCTATCAATAGGCCATCAGTTTTTAAAGTTAGCTTAGCCAACTGTTTCATGTTAAGATTAACTGTAACATGATTTGAAATATATCTATCCAACTAAGTCAGTTCTGAAATGTTTGACCAGTTGAGCTCACACAACATTAACTTGTAGAAAAGGGAACAAACGGTCTGAACCGCTTTGAGTGTTTCTGTCACTGGTTTGTGAGAAGGCAATTAAGCTAGCCGCATTTAAATTTGGAGTGTACACACATTCAAGCCTTTATGGTAAATCCACTAGCGACTTTATCCTGTCTCTGTAAAGACAGAAACTGACAAGTGTTGCAGTATGAGTGTCGTACTTGGAGAGGCTATGAAGTCTTCATGTTACGCGATACGAGAACCACATACAACATGATATATCAAATTATTTTCACAGAAAGTATAAAACATATTACATGTGTCCATTAAAAGTAAATGGACACATGTAATTAACTTTACCGGAGCCTCTCGGGCCTCTGATCCACCCACAATAGTCTCTCCAAATCCTTTGGGAAACGCAGAGTAAAAAGCCCATTTTGACTATTTACTTTATGCAACGGTAAAAAAAAAATTGGCAAAATAATGAGGAAAAAATGAGAAAAACCTTATTCAGTTATTCATAATATTCGGTTTTGGCTTTGGCCAAGAATTTTCATTTTGGTGCATCCCTACTTTGGTGTGTTTCCTACCATTACTATGGTGGCAGTGAAACACAGCTGCAAAGTGAAAGTTATTATTCCTACACTAGACCTGAGAATTGCAAGTGTAAAGAGCTTTAACGAGGTTTGTCATTCCTGATTAAGAAACATGCAGAGAGCTGGCTTCTATGTGCAAGTTAAGTGTTACTCTGTGTTGAGCAGTGAATGTAAACTAGAGCTGTAATGATTTATCGTTTTCAGTCATTTTTCAAGCAAAACATGGGCTGGCTCAAGTTAAATGTAGGGAAATGCTACTTTTCTTTGTCATTTATGATATTAAATGAAGAGTCTTTGGGTCTTAGACTGTTGGTTGGACAATAAGCTATTTGACGACAAGGCAGATGTCACTTTGGGAAATTGTGATGAGCATTTTTTGATGTTTTATAGATCACTAGTTGCAGCCTTAATGTAAATACATTTGCTTTTGATCATTCATGAAATTATGCAATAGCCCAGAGATGAAACTGTTGGGCATCATACCTGGGTTGGCCTGATCCAGCATACTGGCAGTGTGTGTGCTTGAGAACAGGACAGTCTGTGGGGTAAAAGAAACCCATCACGTTTAACTGTGTGCTCACCTCTTCTTCTGCTCATCCTCCTCAGTGCTGGAGAGCTGGCTGGACTACACCGGAGAGCTGGAGCCCCCTGAACCCCTGGCCCGTCTGCCTCAGCTCAAACACCGCATGAAACGGTTGCTGACACAGCTGGGCAAGGTGCAGCAGATCGCCCTGTACAGCTCCGCATGAGGGCGCCAGAGAACAGCAGCAGCCTCAGTCCCCACACAGCATGCAGGAACTGTGCAGCCGAGGGAGATCGCTGCTCTCTGGCTGCAAATACAACAATACTAATGCAAGTGCAAGACTCAGATTGTTCAGCACGTTGTCTCTGACCTGACATCTGCTGCTGTTTTTTCCTTTTATAAGGTTGTGTGTGGTGGAATCCGATGCTCCTGCCAGCCAGTGTCATATATGAATATTTATATGAACATTTATGGAAAGTCAGCATCTCAAATCAGGATTAAACACAAGAAGTAACCTCGTAAATGCAGGAAAAAAATCCTTAGGACCAGGTTCCCATGCAACTCCAAACCTTATGAATGCCTTTCGTCTGAGCTTTTGCTTAAGGTTGCCCTGTCTCTCTCAGTACACAGTGCTTTACATGCAGAAGCTTTATATTCGAAATTGCAATTGAGTTCTTGAACCTACACAGCCTCTTTGCTATCGTTTTTCGAACAATGTTTTCAAATGGTAATTGTTTTTACCTGTCATGCCATACTGCATTAAAACTCTTTGCTGTAAGTGTGGACAGAAAGTAACTTGAAGACATCCAATATGTAACGGCACTGTACAAGCAGTATCTACAAATGATTTGTTTTGTTTCTGACCTACTCAAGGGTTTATTTTATACTACACTGTGAAGTTATTTTTGTCTGGAATTAAAGGCTTCTTATTTTCAGTTTTAGAGACGTAAGAGGTGTGATTTCTGTTTTGTCTTTTGTTGTGTCTTCAACTGTAATCTTTTACTGACAGTCCTCTCATCAGTGTACCAGTTTTATCAGTTTAATCTTTGTTTGTCAGTTACCGTATCCCTTACTTCAATTTGCTCTTTGCATTGTTGTTGCTGTAGCACTTGACCTATGATTCACAGAAAACTGTAATGTGGACTTGTCTTTTCTTAACCTAGCATCTTGTGCTTTGTCAGTGACAGATCCTACTTAAGACGACCTGTACATTTCTTTTCTTTTTTCCAGTTTAATTTCACCTGTTTATTTGCAGTATTTTTGGTTGTTTGTAAATATGTTATTCAAAAATGTGCTCCTCTTTATTGAAAACATTCTCCAAGTTCAGATATTGTATGCTTCTGTACTGTAAGTGTCTGGCTTAGATGCAGGGAAATGTCAAAAACAATGCAAACAGATTTGCTGGTACATAAATAAACTCTCATTGTTATTAATCACTAAGGACACATTCTTGGCTGTTCTCTCATTGTGTTTCTTACATGCTTGGTATTTGAAGAAGGGTGGTCCTCCTCATCCCCATGTTCTCATCCTATTTACCCAGCTGCCAGTAGCACTACCAGTGAAGTTAAAGGTTGCATCATTCGCAGTTCAGGGAGAGTTTGATGTAACCTGTTTTCCTCACAGCTGATTTGTGCTCTTACACAATCAGATTGAGGCTCTAGTTTTTTTCCAGAGCTATAGAGCCTATGAGCAAGGCATTTGGCGTCCAACTCTACAGAGGAGCTGCTCATGACATGAAAGCAGCACTGGTGGCAGTGGGCAGCTGCAGTTTGGGGAGCTGTATGAACGTCAAAAAACGACATTGCGTGCGTACTTTGATGTGTTTAGATGTGTTTTTTATTGCATAGCCGATTTGTGCGGTTACATAATCGGATTGAAAATTGATGGGAATTCTAATCGGTTAATCTCCAAATTTGGAGACCGCATCATGTGATGAGCAAGGCAAAATGATACTATAATGCCCACGAAGAACTTACAGTGTCAAGCCATCATGTTGATCTCTTAGTTTCGAGGGCGCTGGATTTTTACCAAAAAATGGACTATGTTAAAAAGACAGAAATTCCCTTTATACAAAAATCACTAAATAAATGCTATTACCTCACCTCTCTATCATCACAAGTGGGCGTTTACTCACAGTCATGCGCCGTTGTACCCACTGAAGCAGCTTTGGCTCACAGCTAAAAATAAAGTTGGAAACGGTAACCAGCATAAAACGTGGCGTTTGTTTGCGGGTGCAGTTAAAATACATTTTAACAGTATTAGTCCGTGTGAGCCCTACGCATTTTGTTTCCCCGTGCCTCGGAGTCCCGTCTTTATGAGCAGAGTGAGACTTCCTGCTCCCTCCTCCTGTCTGTGGTGCGTCCCGCCTCCTCCCATTGGCTCGTGCGCGGTGTCTTCGACGCAGCGTGTAGATCCGCCCACAGTCACATCGAAATACTAGTTGAGGCAGAGGAAGCGGCAGCGCAGCAACGCTACTGTATACTTAAACATTCACATTACTGTTGATATTCAACAATATAAGGTTAGTCGGAGAGGAATTGGCTGGAACCCGCCGGACACTTATTTTACCGATAAGGTAAGTCTTGACATCCGTGTTTCCGCATTAGCTTTTATCCCATTTAACGTTTCCATTACAGATGTGCCCGATGCCTCAGGAGATTATCTCCGCTCGCTCTGGATTTCCCAACCTGTTCACGCCGCTGTCTTATATTGCTCATCTTTTGTTAAGAGGAATGGTGGCAGTCGTTAGAACAACAACGAAACCTTATAGTACTATAACACACGTTAAAACACCAACGCTTGTACTTCAGTGAGCGCGAGCGAAGCGGTCAGTTAAAAAGAACTGCAGCTCAATTGAATTGAGTTCATTGCCGCTCCTCTCAACAGGGATGCGACACAACGGCGTCTTTTCATACCGTATCTTTATTTAGTCAGTGCAGTGCGGATTGGTAGTTGCGTGTTTTCTGTTACTTTATTAACTGCCCAATAATAACTTAGGTTTTAGCTATTTATTATAAAATGAGGCCTGTCACGATGCGTTACATCGTAAATGACCGAGCTAAAACAACTAAAGAAATGTTAGCTGAAACATTATAGCTTGATGAATTTAATACAGTGACACAGTAATAACTTAAACTTAAAGTTAATTAACTGAAATCCCTGTAAGAATCCCTGTAAGAAGGAATACCTGTGTGTGCGTGTAACGTTATATATATATATATATATATAGTGATACCAGTTTTAGGTTATAAACTCATTGTTGAGTGTAATAAAATAAAAGTTGTACATAAAGGTTTATTTAGAGGAATAGTGATATGATTTTATAAAGGATTTCGTTTTGTCTTGGACTTTGAACAGGACGCTAGCTACAAAGGCCAAAAGCAATGTGTGGCATGCCGTCGTGCCACACGCTGTCACTGTATATTAATCTTTATTCCGCACATTTTCCAAACACTGTCCCGGTCTTGTCTTGGCAGATCCGTCATTATCAATCACATCAATCACAACGACGTAGCTGCAGGTGTTACCAACATTCTGGCACCACGTGATGGATGACAATGTCACTGGTGGCCATGTGAAGGTCACACAGGTGGGATAGAGTAACAGGCTGGGCATCAGGTGTTTTCCCCTTACTAAAGATAATCTTCTCATCTTAGGATATATTTTAAAAGGACAGTGTTCTACCTTTTCCCAGTAAAACTGTTAGCAACAATGAGGATATTAAAGTAATTGTAGTTATAGGATATTTAAAAATACGATGAAGTACAAGGTCGTTAAAACCACAATATACACTGTCTGTATATTGAAGCCTTAATTCTGGTAATTAATAGTTTACATTTGAGAATGTTAGAGTTTCATGGTGGTGGGTTAAATTCAGGTGTTCTGTCTCCCTCAAATGCCCTCACCAGTGTCACATGGTCAGTAAGGCTCGAATGGAGCTTACAGTACAAACAACAACCGGGCTTGTGTTGTCACTCACAACATTGTCCTTAAAGACTGGAAAAGCCAATAGATAACAAACCATAAATAGAAAGATTCTTTCTGTACGCTGATCTGTAAACCGCTCTTTTGTTTGAAGTTTATTGTCATATCATTGGGAGCAGTCCGCTCCTGGTTGATGATTACAGTGAAAACCCAGTGCCTAACTGAGGGGAGTGTCGAAAGTTGTTTATTGAGCCACACGTTGCCCTTGAGATCTTGAAATCTCCAGGAAATGTGTTCATCTGGTCTCTCTAGGCTGCTTTGAATCATTTACAATAGGTTTGTGTGCTTTATTCCAATGCTTTGTTTTAAAGCTGTTAGCTTTTATTCATATCGAGTCCACCTTCCAAGAGTGCTCAGAGAAATGAAAACAAATGTACCTGAGCATTCAGAGTGAAAACAAAGGCAGTGTAGTGCATGAATACAGTACTTTATATTGTATCAATACCCTAAGTGAATAATATCAAGTCATTTTAAGACGTCAGCATCGAAAAATGACACTATTAAGTTGCATTTCAGCATGGATTACAACATACACATAATTTATTACAGAGATTACTGAGTACATAAAAGTGAGAAATGCTCTAGTGTGGAAGAGGATTTCTTGCAGGAATGCCAGGGATGAACGTCAGGGAATAGTGAGGCTCACTGGAGAGACGGATACAGTAATTAAGCCACTGTGCTGACAGTCAGTCTGCCTTGTATTCACTCTCACCTCAGCATTACTGTGGCTCTTGGTTTTCCCTGCAGGCCAAAAAATAACCCGCGCAAGACATTTACAAGGAACTTTTCTCATAATTGTAAATGCCTCAGATGTTAACAGCACATCTCTCCGTGCCATGTTTTGCTATTGCTTTTCAGTCATCTTGTACCAAGACAGGATTTTTGAAAAAGATCATTGCCACCAGAATAATGTCCACACCATATTGTGTGTCTGTTTGTCAGTCTGACCCTATCTCCTGGAGCTCTGGTGCTGCTGCTGTGTTTTTGTAACTGAACCGCACCTGTAATTTAAGCTGTACCAGGCCCTAGAGTTACAGCGCAAGCTCTGCACAGCAGCTTCAGGCTTTCAGACCAAAAAAAAAAAAAAAGCTGATGCATACACACCTCCATTCCAGGTTAGCTTCTTAAATTTCCCATGACCCCAGCCAAACAGCATATGCAAACAGCTATCCATGCTCCTCCAGTCTATACTGCAGGGACAGAATACACTTAAAGCAAACAAATGAATGACCAAACACCAGAGACGGTCACTAGCAGGCTCGTGTGAGTGAGCAGCAGTGTCCACACTTTCTTTCAGACGTCGTTATCTGCTGTATCACACCCCTGCTGGAGGTAAGACTCCGCCTGTCTCCATTTTCTTTATCAGTATCAGCAATAAAATCAGCAGGTGGCAATGAAGAGAGGCAGAGCACAGGTGGTAAGCTTGTTGATCCAAAGTGTTGGACACATGCCAAACTGGACCTCTGGAAGCCCTGGACTGTCCTTCACTGTTCAATTAGGAGCATATATTTTAAGCACCTCCTCTCATACGCCTGCAAATAATGTTTGCGGTAACATTATCACCCCGACTTTCCTCTTGTCTTTTAGTTTCTCTAAACATTGTCTTCTATAGATCTTGCTTGTTCCTTTAAGTAAGAGAAAATATTTCCACTCTGCAAAGAAAGAGCTCTCCACTGAGACTCAGTTTGCCATAGTAGATACATTTCTCACAGGTGTGCACGTGGATTTCATGGAAGTACCACGCAGCTCTATTTACAGTGTCGCAAAACATTTCATGCCCAAGTATTTCATACTTGCATTAATGGTCTAGAGAACACCCAGGACAATGAAGTACTTCAGTGGTTATTGTGACCGAGCAAATGGCAGATACAGTTTGAAGATCCTCCCCCTCAGGCTGTGCTCCTGCAATGAACAAAGATGATACATAAAGTCCCAGTCATCGAACGCTGGGGAGACTGGGGCCATGGTGAGTGTGTGTGTGTGTGCCCTGTGGCTACATGTTACACACTGTTGATACATACAAGGAAGAGAAAGGCTTTTTTATGACCCATTTGATGCCTTCATTGAATGTCGAGAACAACTTCTTGAGCATCCCGAGAGCCATGTGGAAGCTGACTGGTGAAGCGTTCCACGCTGCATTGTTTGTCGTGATGAGAGGAGAATGACTTTATGAAAATGATGGTGAAAAAGGTCATTCGATTTCGGCACCACCAGCTGAATTGAGGGTGGCTCAGGCGCCTCCTCCGTGGTTGCCAAGGACACCGCCAACCACTGCGGGGAGCGTTTGTGAGGGAAGGCGCCGGCGTAGCCACCTCTGTGTTTCTATGGGAGATTGAGTTGTCAGTAATCAGTCATTGTGACAGCCAAGCTGACCACACAGATAACTCTATTAGCCGAGGCTGTGTTCCTGTGAGGCAACAGGCTTCTTAGCGCTGATTCATACACTGAAACACACAGAGAT